CAAAACCGGCTATTTTCTCTGACATTTTTGTAAGGCGTACCAGACATACATAGTAAAACATTACGTAAATCAAGTCATTGTTGTTTTCGACGGATTCCAGGAAAGTACTATGAAGGATGTAGAACACGTTAGGCGAACGTTTAAAGCGACATCTGCCGAAGTTCTTGTTGGTTCTGATGTGCAAGTGGTATTCCAGCAGCATCCATTCTTAGCCAACGCAACCAATGAAACAAGGCTCATTGATCAATTAGTAAGCCATCCAAACAGAAACTGAATACAAGCGGTCCATGCAAAAGCTTATGCAGACCGTCTAATTGTCCAAACCGCCATCATACTAGCCAATAAAGAAAAAACTCTGCAATTGTTGGAAAGAACACTGAGGCATTCATCCTGTAATTGACCCTTACTGACCCTGACAAAAATATCTCAATGCTCATTCCACTTTCAAAAGCTCATTAGCAAAAGATATTTTCATCCACAGCACTGCAAAATAGTATGGACAATGTCAACGAGCATCTTCTTTTCCTGCATTCTTTGTCCGGTTGGGGGTTGTGATACCACGTCAGCGACCTACAGAAAAGGGAAGATACAAGCCTTCAATGTTCTGAAGAAATTACAAATGAGGAATTTCTTGTAGCCTTATATATTGTAGCCTTTTTGGAAGAAAAAGCGGTCAGGGACTCAAAAGAACTCGATATAAACAGTACCTGAAAGTAATATCAAAACGTCTTGACTTTTAATTTGTACACCTTAGAGTGTATCACCAGGTTCAAGAATGGCTAGGGGTTTCTCTTCCACCTACAGAGTGGGGATGGAAAAAGAACGAAATAGGTACATTTACCCAAATTCCTACTTCAATGCCCCTTTACCTGACAACCTCCTCAACTTGATTAGATGTGCATGTAAGACTGGATGTAACAGGGGTTGTGGATGTCTGAAAATTGGTTATCTTGATCACGATTGTGTAACTATTGCACCAACGGTTGGGGTAACAGGATCAATGCCACATCTGTACTAAATGAAAAATTGGACATTAATGTACCTGATTTACCAACCCAGTCCCGTTCTGACCGGAAAGTCAACACAACCGACATGCAAATTATTTCATTCCACTTTGCAGTAAGAGGAAAAAGTCACATCAAAGAAAATAGTTTTTATAACTCACCAACTTATCAATTGTCTAACAGAATATATTTAGTTTTTTGGAGTTTATATAAAAAAGAAAAATATTATGTATCAAATAAAAGTTTGTTATAAAAGTAATAGTAACACAACTGTTTATTTACTATTAGTAATTTAATTCCATTCACAGAATTGTATTACAGTCACCAACATGATGCTGTCTAAAACGTAGGCTGCAATCACATGTCCAGCGTCAATATGACGGCATACATATAGACCAAAAACAAATATAATTACATATTCTTGTGTGCCTTGACTTGTTCTATAAGATTTAATCAGAGAAGTTTTTCCCCGATGAGTAAAAGAGGTCTTAAATCAATTTTGAATGCAAGACCAGTATTAGCCTCCAATTATTTTTGTCTAATTCTTATAACTATATATAATGGCTCTAATTTTAATTACATCCTGACAAATAACTTTGAAGAAACTGCACGTTTTTATCACAATTAGGAGTGGTTTTATGCTTGAATATGTGACACAAGGAGGGAAATCCATTATGGCGGCCATTTTCCAAGATGGCGGCATGTTGCCCAAGTGGGATTTTTTGGGAATTTTAGTATGATGTTCCCAGCTGTACGTACAACATTTCCACCGATTTTCAGCCCGATAAATTAAAATTCTTGAATCCAACACTATTTTCCTGCACTAAATCTGGGTACAGTTACCACAAAGTTTACCATTCTTAAATGTGCTGAGTTGTTTTTAAGTTAATCTTTAGGATTAAAATAAACATGATTAATAAACTAGAATTTCCTGTAACTTTTATTCAAATAGAGTTAAATACCATTTCTAATACAAACATACAAGCCCCCAATGTTGTGGAAACAAAATCTGGGTTGGCTATCCCCCACCTACCAATCCCTCCTTTTGAACTCGTATCAGTACATCCTTCCTTCAAAGTGTTTTAATTGTAGTAAACAAATGTTTCCTTGACTTTAAAAAAACATTTCAATGTTGCCAATTGTTACTATCGCTAGACAGAATGCTCGGATGCGTAGGGACAACAATACAGCACGTTTGACATGTAGACAAGCCAAGGTTCATAGTCACAGATAAGCTATTAAAAGCGCACTCATCTCTGGCTTCATCAATGAGGCGCCTTACAAGATAACCTTTGCTGATCCGGAACAAAAGACTGATAAGTCTCCAGTTTCTACGCACATATAGAAAACATATGTTTCTCACGTGTGTTTGGTTGAATTGTAAATAACCAATCTGTTTCATTGGTATAACAGACTCAGTTTCTTATTGATTATCATTTATTCTTTAAATGTTCTTGGCTTCTGTTTGAATATTATTTTTTAACTCCGAAAATCTAAATTTAATGGAAAAATCAACCCAAAATTTTTGTTTTAGCTTGGTAACACCGTAACACTCAGTTAGGTCTGTAATGGTAAAACATAAATTGATATGGTATCTAGTATTTGGTTTAAAAGTTCATAACAGAATAATAATGAAAAATAAAATAATTTTTCTTGTGGTCCCGCCGCCAATTTTCATGAAATTGGTTATGATCGAGTAAATATGTTTATTCAAACAATTTTGTGAACCAGCATGATAGGACTATGGGAACAGAGGTGTTATGGTGTAAAAATAGATTTTTCCAATTTTTGATCCTATAGAATAAGGAAATGTAGCAATTTCTTTCAAAAATTTATTTTTTATAGCTAAAAAAAACAAACAATTTAGTATTGAAGCGTTGTTGGTTTCAATGTTATTAGTATGGAAAATAAGTAAATAATTGTTGTAGTCTTCTGCTTATAAACACTTTGATCAAATTTGGACATTTTTTATATCTGAACTAGCCGCTATACCCCGTGCCTTGCAACGAGGTCAAGATGCAGAAGAGAACATTTTGGTTCCTTGAAAATAATGGCAAGCAGCTTGAGAACGCTAAAGAGAACAATCATTATGTTCCCTTAGATCTGATGTATGTATATGTAGCCTACTTTTATTAATTTACTATTAGTATTAACTGGCTGCATAAACATAACTGAAAAAGTCCATCCATTCCATGACTGGGACTGGTGGCGTCGTCCTGTAATCCAGCTACTAGGAGGTCACGAATTGTGGATATTTATAGGCATGCACTGTGGATGTGTGTGGATTGACGTCCGCACGGGTGAGTATTACGACTATCCACAGTACTATCCTGATAATTAGACCAATTCGTATATACCAAAAAGGCAAAAATGTGGTTCGGATTCCACTATAAACTGTAGGTCCCTTAGTTGCCATTAGCTGTATGGGCTATTAATTAACAGCTGTGTCTAAGGAATATGTCGGACATAGTCACTAACAAGACTACAAGAACGCGTCACTCAACCTACACTCATCTCCATTCATACTTGGCTTAAAATACCTACTTTGTATGGTCGCCATTTCATTGAAAAGTATAAAGTATGTATCACAGCTTTTTGTTTCTGCTTGGTACAAATTAGCTGTTGTCATAAATTTAAACAATTAATAGCACCCTGTTGGTAAACCCATTCCTTTTTAATGCTATTAACCAATACAGTTGAATCAAATTCTTTAGTTGAAACAGCCGTAAAATTCTTTAATTCCAAGTACTCCAGAGAAGTTAGCCTATATAAGTAACTCCAGAGCCACTGGGGCGGAGCCGTTTAGATATATCACGAAATTGATGGTAAAATAAACCTATTCCATGAGATTCTACACATATGTACCAAATTTCGTGGCCATCGGTCCAGCGGGGTCTGAGATTATCACTGCCAAATATACAAACATACATATAAATCAACATCCTCTGTTATAAAATAAATATTTATTATTTATATATTTTATAAATATAATATAGACTATTATTAAAATTCCACTAAAACAATTCTCTATTACCTTGCCTGTCCTTGCAAGCCCATCTGCCCATGTTTTATAATAGGGATTAAATCTGACACTATAAGGAGAGTTTTTTGTAAAAATATAATCAGGCAAACAGAGGTATTTTTAATATTAGGTCAGTGACAAAAAGGAAATACAAATGCCTATTAAGATAAGTGGTACAAATAATGGTTACAGGTTAAAAAAAAAATGGTTACAAATCGAATTTGATTTGAACTTGGCGGTTGTTCTGCCAGCTGCTATTGAAGAGGAAATCGTGAATCAAACTCTCAAACTATCTTACAGACTTACCACCTCTTCATGTCAAAATTCTAAACGAAGGAATTAATTAGGAATATAAACTTTGGTAAAATACGTTTATAAATTAAAATAGGCTCAAAAATTAGCACAAAAAATGAATTTGAAATAAAAAAAAATAACATGGGCCTTTATGGGTTGCCATGCAGGTGACGAAATATAAACAGAAAATCAAAACAAACGGAAGAAATTCCAATCACATGTTTTATTCAGCGTGTGGTGAATATTCGTTCAAGTAAGCAGAACGATACAATTGAGATTTGCTTCCTATAATCAATGACGGAAGTTTTTTCAACACTTTTTACAGTAGATTAAAGAACCGCTTTATTACCCTGATCTGTATTCTCATCCCATTGCGAAGCACGGGCAGAGCAAACTAGTATGTTAAGTTTAAACTTTCAACATTACATAGTTTAGCTCACTGTTTAGCCCCCATAACTAAACCAAAGCAAATTTTGTGTTCATATGTTGCCCCACTTGTACCCAGATGACTGTAAATTGACTTTTGAGTCTAGCAGTAGACAAAACCACAAAACTATTGTTTACTTGTCACCAAAACGGCAACTGCGCGCGCGGCACAGCGTATAAACAAAACAAACCAGTGCTCTGCTCTCAAGAAATTGGTATCATGTAAACTAAAGTAGACTGTAACGTGAGTATAGCCAATTTACATCTTCCTTCATCTAATGAATGATACAAAATACATCGTTTGGTTAATTGTTGTCATGTTTTTAATAGCAGTGTGTTTAGGTTAACACCCGCCTGCTGCCTGGTGTTGCACTCATGCACTGAGTAGGATAGGATGTATTGATTTTCTCAAGGAATTAGACCAAACAGTATTTGTTGAAGCAGTCCAGAGTAGTTGTGGTTTAGTTTTAGTTATAATGAAGAAAGTAATCAATTTTGTTAAAGGAAAAAGAGAGGACAGGAAAGATAGGACAGTCAGCAGCAATATATGTGTAGAGATAACAAATCCTTTAGGTCAAAAAGTGCCCAGTGAAGATGAACATATTGTGGGATTGCAGTCAGGATATGGGTACGAAGTTGATTTTAGTGGAAAGGATAAATCTATGACAAAATTACACAAGGCAGCTTGGCAAGGTAATTTGGAGAAGGTGAAAATTCATCTAAAGAAAATTGACATAAATGCTGTTGATGAATATAATAGGACTCCTCTTCATTTAGCTGCGGCTCAGGGACATACAAATGTGGTTTGCTTCCTACTCAATAATAAGGCTATCTCTGATATTAGTGATAGTGATGGAATGACACCATTTTTAAAGGTGAGTATAATAGTTTTTAATAACCCAGTTAAGTTAGTTGTAAGTTGTGTCATTTAGCTGATTTTGACCACATTTAGGCCTATTTTGACTAAAAGTTAAGAATAGCCTGTTCTGAATATATATTGGACTATATTATGATTGGCTTTTGAGGTAAAAACACATCCTCTCAATCTCACTAGTTTTAAGTGCGTTTTGGGATTTTATAAGAAAAATTCAAATGAATCAAGCAATGACGTACGCTTAAAGATTCTGCAGAAAAGGCGTCTCATTTAAACAGGATTAACTTAAATTATCATTGTTTGGCCTATTATGACAATCTGCTAGACTAGGTATTAAGATCAAACTTAAGTTGTATAAGTTAACACAATACTATGTCCCATTGGAAATCAGAGTTTTTAACCAAATACCTATTAGTTAAAGTTAGGCCCTGTTTTGTCTGTTTACAAAATTTGGTAGAGGCCTACCTCAGTGCTCCATGTATTGAGAAGGCCTACCGTAGGCTATGATAAGTAATTGTTTTTTACCCTTTTCACATTTTTTTTTCATTTATGTAGTTTATTAGGCTAACTTAACGACTTTTAACTCAACCAAAGCTAAGGTAGGCCTACATCTCCTCTCTGCAGTTTTGAGTAGATTTGTTTGACGGCAACCACCATGGTGCATACTTAATAGAGTTAAAAGTAAAACCTTGCTACTAGCATATAAATAGCCCACTTAACATAAATTTTTTGAAAAGGCAACACTGCTAAGGTATATTTTGAGCCACGTGTGATGGACAGGTAGAATAATGTGCCTTGTCATTTAGCTTTGTTATTAAATACGACCAGCTGCTTGGTAAGGAACAACGAGCCCTTTTAAACCTATGTAACTTAAGCCATGATAAGTACACGTTAAGTTAAAAGTTCAATTATTAAGGAAACGGCCCATCTATTGAACTAGTGACATAAGAATTACAAAATACATTTAGAAAATTGACATACAAGAGTACCTGTTGCTATTTTATTGCATAAGTATAAAAAGGAAGAGTCAAGCAAATTTTGGGTGCATAGGCCTACCCTTAAAACATTGCCATTATTGCACTTTTACAACCAGGGTTGCCACCCCTCCCGATTCTGCTGGGACAGTCCTGATTTTGGTTCCTTATGCCCGTATTTAAGCCTATGTTAATCTGGTTGGAGAGGGGCTATGTCCCGATTTTTCCCTTACCTAAGGGGGCAACCCTGCTTACAACATTGCTAAGGGAATAGGCTACATATTGTCAAATTACAAATTATTTTTGTAGGATTTTTTTAGGATGACTTTTAACGAGCTCCTTTAAATTGGAGGTGACATTAAGAAAAAAAGATTCTTCAGAGAGGTTTCGGATTCCTATTGCACCAGAAGCCTACATGTAATCCTAATGAGGGTTAAATCTCATAGATGAACGCTTATTTCTTTAACGAACATATGTTATCTGTAAAATAACATAATTTCTAACTAACTGCACAGTACCACTGTCAAACTAAAATTGAATAAGCTATACAGTGCAGGAACTGAGTGTGTGACTTGCTGCCGAGTGTGGCTGGAGCCGGAAGATAACATGAGGAGCATATTTGTCGTCGCGACCTTAAAACCCTACAGACGTGACTTTCTGTCAGCTGTCTCAGGTGGTTGAAGATCGCATGGCGCTTAGTTTGGCTGTCTTCATTTTATTTAATGTTATCCGTTTTCGTATTTTGTCTCGGCGAATAATTCGCAAAGTGTGGCCACAGCCTTAGACCTACTGGAACTCATTACATACAGATTTGTTAGTCTCTCGTCAATATTTAAATACCTAAGTTATATTATCCAACAATCTAATAATTGCTTTAATTCTTGCTTTCTTTCAGGCTGTAGACTGTGGTGTCAAAGAATGTGTAGGTCTGATGGTTGACAGTGGTGTCAACATTTCTTGTGTTGACAACAATGGAAACACTGCTCTTCACATCACTGCCAGACAGGGGTTTTTCAACATAATGTCCCTGCTGCTCAAACATGGTGCTAATTGTAACAGTGCAAACAACGTAAGTATTATTCACCTATAAAGTAGGGCCTACATACCTATACGTAGCACTACCGGCTGCACTTTGGTATCTGTCCTACACTCATTCGAATGAATATATCAATCTATATCGAATAATCTATACATCGATATTTTTCATTTGGATGAGTGTAGGACAAATACTAAAGAGTAGCCGCACTTCCTCTCGTTCGAATAACGAGAACCTGAATCTTATCTAAACCATAATTAAAACTTACAAAAATGAAATACCTTTTGAAACTACATATACATATATATACTAGCAAACCTGTCGTGACTTCGCTCACAAAAATTTAAATGTAAAAGTTAATGTTCATCCTGAGTAGGGCCTACACTTCTTGATTTTTTAATTTATTTAACTATTAAAAATCTGTTATGCAGTTAACAAGCCACAAAAATAATGAAGTATAGATGGATAGATTTGCAAAATTAATAACCTACACTTATATACTAAACATTAATAAAATACATCAATATACAATGCTATTTGAAGCTGATACAACTTGTTTGTTTGAATGTGGTAGAATGTAGTACAGTACCAAAATGAAGTAGTTCTTTTGCATTTGCCCACTGGTACAAAAAAGTGGGTGACAGACATTTCTATTTAATATAAAAATGTATTTTTAATTTTTTTCTTTTATAGCGAAAAATATTTCTTAAAATAGGTAACCATAAATCAACTGTGTACCTAAGATAGGTCTTTAGTAAAAACATTACAAACTTACAAACTGATTTTGATTCATGGTGCTGGTTTGGCTTGCAAAAAAAATTGCGCTACTGTACTTGGAAAATCTTAAGCTTATTTTTAATCCACAAAATATTGACCTATTCAAAATCACTCAACCGTCTGGATGTACATTTTTGAATTTTTCTCCCACTATTTAATGCTGGTCTGGGGAAGTTAACTGACTGATATTAATTAGTTATAGGTATGTGTACGTCAACAATAATTGGTATTCTTATCATTCATTGTTTATCTAAACTTAAACTTCATAATTAACTTCCAGGCAGGTGAGATGGCACTTCACATTGCTACGGAGCAAGAGCACAGGGACCTTGTGGAACTATTGCTACAAGCTGGAGCTCAGGTACCGTGTAGTTTAGATTAGATTTGTATGATGAGTGTTTGCAAATGAAATTACAGCTTTGTTACTGTAGTTTTTTTTTTTTTTTTTTTTTTTTTTTTTTTTTTTTTTTTGTCCTAAGGACGCTAGGCACGAGCCTGGGATTGTTTTTCACATTACTTCAGGCTAGACCTAGGGGTTACGGCATTATCACTTAGATAAAATCCATTGGTGACTTGGCGGGGATCGAACCCGGGACCTCAGGGACTGAAGTCCCGCTATAGTTTCATATATGAACAGTCATAATTATTAGTAACGGAAGAGTTATTATGTTTTGCGAGGTGGCTGCACTGTGCACTGAGCCCTGAAGTGGGATGATTCGTCACGGCTCCTCCTTCTATGTCCAACAGCGATCGTAAGTGGTTCTCTTGCTATATCGTCCACTTTTCTAGCGTAACGTTAGGTTACGACATTTTGGCGCAGTCGGTAATAAACCTTTTTATCATAGTTTGGGTAGTACGCGATAACAGTTGTTGTTTTAGTGCGTATTATAGTTGAGATGATTAAAAATGGCGAGTATTAGTGTTGGCAGGATTTCTGAATTTAATCCACGTGAGGAGGACATTGTGCCCTATTTGTTGCGCCTGAAACATTTTTTCAAAGCGAACAATGTTAAGAAGGAGAACGAGGTGTCGGTTTTAATTACAGTTATTGGTTCCAGGGTTTTATCGGTCCTATCCGATTTATTATCACCGGTAGAGGTAGATTCTAAGACCTATGATGAACTTGCAGCGTTGTTGAAATTACATTATGCGCCCAAGAAGTTGGTTGTGGCGGAGCGATATGTATTCTACTCTCGTGTGCAAAAGCCGGGCGAAAGCATAGCGGAGTTTGTGGTTTCAATAAAACATTTGGCTAGTTCGTGCAAATTTGGTACCTTTTTGAAAGACGCTTTGAGGGACAAAGTGATTTCCGGCATTTCTAATGAAACTATCCGGCAGAAATTGTTGTCAGAGGAATTGGACTTTGACGAAGCTTATGCGTCAGCGCTCAGGCTGGAACAGGCCGAATCGCAGTCAAGCCTATTTGTGCAACCTCGTGGGGACATTGCGAAAATCAATGTGAAAAGTCAAAATAGGCCTAAAACTTTCATGCATAGGAGTAGTGAAAATCAAAATTCTAGAAACTCTTGTTGGAGGTGTGGTTCTGCTGGTCATTGGCCTAGTGCGTGTGCGTTCGCCAGTTACAAGTGTCACGGTTGTCAGAGAGTAGGTCATCTCAAGAAAGTGTGTAAAGCCAAGAAATCTTCTAGTTTCCATGGTAAAAAGTCGACACCTAGGATGGGGGTCCATCGAGTGGAGGAAGAGGTAGGCCTAGGCCTAGAAGTTCCAATGGCAGAGATAGGTCTGTACAACCTTAAATCAGGATCAGACAACGGCTATAAGGTAGGCCTAGTGGCTAATGATGTATATTTAGAAATGATTCTAGATACAGGCAGTGCCTTGACTATATGTCCTTCTGAGATATTTTATGAAAAATTTTCTAACCTCAAACTTAGGCCAGCAAATGTGAAACTTACTACTTATTCAGGTCATGATGTACCTGTTCTGGGACAAGTGAATGTCAATGTTAAATATAATAATCAGCAGGCGAGTTTGCCTTTGACAGTAGTTAGTTTAGAAAGTAAGAGTCAGCCGATTCTGTTGGGGCGAAACTGGTTAGGCCAGTTGAGGTTAGATTGGCAAAATGTGTTTTCATGTAAAGCCACTGTGGATCACAGTTCTGATTTGGACATTGCTAAATTGAAGAGTAAATTTAAGTCAGTTTTTCAGCCTGGAACGGGCGAAATTAAGGGTGTTAAGGCTCATATTGTCTTAAAGGAGGGGACAGTCCCTAAGTTTTGTAAGGCGAGACCAGTGCCTTTTGCGTTAAGGGAGAAAGTTGAGAGTGAGTTGGACCGCATGGTTCAAGAGGATGTTGCGTACAGAGTTACCAGTGTTGGGGAAGCTACTTTTAAAATGTAGCTAGCTACAACTACTGCTACATTTCCAAAAAAGTAGCTTAGCTACAGCTACAGCTACAGTTCCAAAAAAGTAGCTAGCTACAACTACAGCTACAATGAAATGTAGCTACAGCTACAATTTTAGCTACTTTTCCAAAGACGTTACTTTTTATTCCACGCACATTAGGTAAATGTAAAATTAATTGAAACTAAATTTTTATTGAACAAACATTTAATCAAAAAATGTCAGTATTGTATCTACCATTACTAGGAAAACAAATTATTCCTAGATTGTATTTAATTTGTTGGCATTATAAACCTAAAATTACAATAACAGAACCAAATAGTTGGGTGTCCCATCATATTTAGTACTTATTTTTAAATATTGCATTATTTTTAAGCATCTTATATGTAAATTTTATTAAGTTCAAAGGACATACAACAAAACTATATTTTAAAACCCATTTTATTTCTTTAATATAGATTCATTTATAGATGTCTTATATCAACAATTAAGACCAATAAAACTGTAAAACGATTATTTAAAATACTTTTTGTGTTACAGAGCCTAGCCTACTGAAATTGGAGTTTATTGCCTTTATTTACTTTTAATGTTAAAAACGACATTGCTATAACTTTTAACCATAGTGATAAGTTACTTGTTCTATGAATAACACTTTTCAATGTCAAGAAATCGTCCTTTATTGTCATTATGCATAGGGCAAATTGTGCTTCAACCTAATTGGTACAGAAAACAGTATTCAGCAACTTAAGTTATCCTGAAATCGGCTTTTGATTTAAACATGTTGAAATTTGTATAGTAAAAATAACATGTAGGGCTACTTGGCTATGTAACAAAGTTGGCTATATAGTAGGCTTGTTCTTGCAAAGGACTAAACAGATATATTCCTAATAATTGAACTTGGAACTTGGTATTCGTCTTAAATCATAGCATAGCCTAGGAATAGTCCTATACAAGAGCTGTTAGCAGGAGTAAACTATGCTATTTTTTCAATCTAAGTTTCATGTCATATGGAGATTTTTTCGTTACAATTATCATGTAGTCTAGGCATATCTTAATTCTCATCAGGTAATTTCCTCTTTGTTAATTTAGTAAACCTTTGAAAAATCTTCGTAATCTAACCAAGGAAGGGCTTGTGGCTTGTGATGATGAACCACAATCAACAGCTGAAGCTCAAGCTAGACCAGCTTTCTCATTATTTTTAGGTTTAGTGTTGGTTTCCATTAAAACCCAAGTTGAAACACTATCGATATAATAAAGAAACTAAATTGATTACTAATTTCCCTGTCAATCACTTGCAAGCATTCAATAGCTTCTCTTGTCACCGGTAACGTTTAAAACGTCGTCTGCAACTAGCGATTTTATTTTATCTGACAGTAATCATAGAGTAGTAAATTAAGGAAATGAGAGCCAAAAATGTGGATAACACTCATTTAATGGCCTCCATGTCCACACAACGTTGTAATAGGGAATGAAACGGCTGCAACCAGCTGTATGAAGCCAAGAAAGTAGGCCTAATTTTTGTTTAAATCTCAGTTTGAAAGAGGTTGTTTCACGTAAGGTTGAGGTTATGATAAAAATCACTATCTCAAACAATGTTAATGTAGCGAGAAAAGTAGCTAAAATTCCGCTACAACTACGTTAAAAATGTAGCTAGCTACATCTAAAGCTACAAAATCTTAAAAGTAGCGTAGCTACAGCTAACGCTACAAAAAAAGTAGTGCGCTACTGTAGCGTCGCTACTTGTAGCGCGCTACTTCCCAACACTGAGAGTTACTAATTCACAGTGGAGCACTCCACTTGTGGTTGTCCCTAAGCCTAATGGTGTTAGGCTTTGTGCCGATTATAAGATTACTCTTAATCAGTGTATTGAAATGGAACATTATCCGCTTCCTCAGGCTCAAGATATTTTTGCAACTCTAGGCGGTTGCTCAGTTTTTAGCTGCCTTGATCTTTCAAATGCGTATCAGCAATTGGCGGTAGCGGATGAATCGCAACATCTGTTGACCCTAGCTACCCATAAGGGTCTGTATCGTTTAAAAAGGCTACCATATGGTTTGTCTTCAGCTCCGGCAATTTTTCAGTCAGCCATCGACCAAATTTTAACAGGTCTTCCAGGAACAGTGGCGTACTTAGATGACGTCTTAGTGGCGGCTCGCTCTAAGGAAGAGGGGCTTGCCCGTCTGGCGCAGGTGCTGCAACGCCTTGATGAGTTTGGTGTTCGAGTAAACCAACAAAAGTGTAAGTTTTTGCAATCTTCAATAGAGTATTTAGGACATGTGATTACTCGAGATGGTCTCCTTCCACAAGAAAGTTTGTTAACTGCGCTGCGTAAAGCGCCTGAGCCTAGTACTAAGGAAGAGTTACGAGCCTATATTGGTCTAATAAATTATTATCATGCATTTATACCTAACCTGTCTGCTAGAATAAGCTGTTTTTATGACTTATTACATAAGGATCATCCATGGGTGTGGTCGGAGGTGTGTTCTAAGACTTTTCAGGAGAGTAAATCATGGGTGTTGGACTCAAGTTTGTTAGTTCACTATGATGTTAAAAAGCCCATAGTTCTGACGTGTGATGCGAGTCCCAGAGGGGTGGCTGCTGTTCTATCTCATCTTATCGATGGTCAGGAAAGGCCAATTGCCTTCGCATCGAAAACGCTAAGTTCCAGTGAACGGAATTATTCTCAGTTACATCGGGAGGCTCTGGCTTTGATCTTTGGAGTCAAAAAGTTTCATAAGTTTATATATATAAGACACTGTATTCTACAGACTGATCATCAGCCGTTGACGGCTATTTTTGGCTCTAAAAAGGGCGTTCCTAGTATGGCGGCAGCTAGGCTGCAGAGATGGGCCTTGATTCTATCAGCATATGATTTGGAGGTTAGGTACCGGAAGGGAGTGGATGTCCCTCACGCTGATGCGTTGTCTAGGTTACCCTTAGCAGAAGCGGAACCTATAGAGCTGGATGCTAATTTTGTTTCACATGTAGATGTGTGTACAGAAGTGATGAACAATTTCTGTGTTGTCAAGGACATTGCACCTATTACTGCCTTGCATATAGGTAAAATGACGGAGAAGGATCCGATTCTTTCGAAGGTCCGAGATTTTGTGATGTACGGCTGGACGAGCTCGGTTGAGCCGGAACTAGCTATTTTTCTAAGGAAGAAGGACGAGTTGTCCGTGGAACAAGGTTGTTTGCTGTGGGGTTCTCGTGTAGTGATTCCAAAGAAACTGTATTCATCTGTGCTTCAAATGTTGCATGATCAACACCCGGGAGTTACACGCATGAAGATGCTGGCGAGAAGTTATGTCTGGTGGCCAGGCATGGAGAAGTCGATTGAAGACGTGGTGGCCTCTTGTTCTGCGTGTCAGTTAACTAGGAATTCGATACCTAAAGTACCGTTGCAGCAATGGCCTACAACATCAACCCGATGGCAGAGGATACACATTGACTTTGCGGAGGATCCAGAGTCGAGACAGCAACTTTTAGTTTTGATTGACACATACTCTAAATGGTTAGAGGTATTTATCATGAGTTCCATGAATTCTTCCAAGGTTATTGAGAAACTCCGTACCTTGTTTTCATCGTATGGATTGCCTGTCGAACTGGTGTCGGACAACGGAAGATCTTTTACTAGTCAAGAGTTCAAAACCTTTTTGCTTAACAACAATGTGAAGTTCACATTAACTCCCCCGTATCATGCGGCTTCAAATGGATCTGCGGAGAGAAGTGTTCAGGAGGTCAAGAAAAACCTTTTGCGTCAAGTGATTGAGGAACATCAGCGTTCTCAGCGTACCACTCTTCAAATGAAATTAGATAATTTCTTGTTTGCGTACCGCAACACTCCAAATACAGTTACTGGCTTAACCCCTGCAGAAATGTTCCTGTCTTGGAAGCCTCGTACTCAGTTGGTTATGTTAAAACCCAATCTCCAGTCATCCATTGATCAAAAACACAGGGAACAAAAAGATGCAGCTGATAGGCTTAGGGGAAGAAGCAGATTTTTCTCAGAAGGTCAGGCAGTCTATGTCAAAACTGTCCGAAATGAAAAGATATCTTGGGTTCCTGGCAAAATAATTCTAAAGAGAAGTCCGGTCACCTATCTGGTGAGTGTTATTGGTGGAAAACCCCGATTTTGTCATGCGGATCACTTGAGAGCTCGGTATGCAGAAGAGGAGGAGATTTTTGTATCACCCAAGGATCCCGTTGTATCACCCCAAGTACCCAAGAATTCACCCCCGCCGGAGGATCGACCAACTAGTCCCATGATGATGTCACCTGTACCTAGGCCTACTACCAGTCCCAGGGAGAGCCTAGGGCAAGCCCAGCCTCAGCCAACTCCTGCGTCGCCGCTAGCACAGTGCAGCCCACCACCCTCGCTGAGGAAGTCTGCACGGACTGTGCGAAAGCCTCACAGGCTGGACTTGTAAAATTATTAATGAATAATGGGAAGAAGAAATTTTGGTTGCATTTTATTGAAAGTGAATTTATTTTATTTTGAAAGTTGAGTTAATTTTGAATTTATGATATTGACTTTTTTTTATGGGGAAGACGAGTGTAGTAGAAGTCATTATAGTTTCATATATGAACAGTCATAATTATTAGTAACGGAAGAGTTATTATGTTTTGCGGGGTGGCTTTTTGCACTGTGCACTGAGCCCTGAAGTGGGATGATTCGTCACGGCTCCTCCTTCTATGTCCAACAGCGATCGTAAGTGGTTCTCTTGCTATATCGTCCACTTTTCTAGCGTAACGTTAGGTTACGACAGTTACTGAATAAGATTACAGTAGACTCTTGATAATTCGAAATTGGTGGGCCAAGCATATAAATTTGAATTATCAAGAGTTTTGAATTATCAAGAGTTCGATTTATCGGGAGAAAAATAAACCATTCGAATTACAGAGAGTTCATTTGTTTAATACATACAAAGGTACAGCACGTTACAATAAAACATCATACCGTATTTTAGTACACTTTTAAACAATCAACGGCTTATTTTTCAGTTACTGTAGTTGCAAAGAAATCTGTTATTTAGCGCTATATATTTTGCCAATAGCTGAACTATCAGCTGTCGACAACTACCTTTGTGCTCAAGGAGATGTCGCGCAATCTAGAGATCGGATTGCCAACTTAGAAAAACAAGTCAGCGAACTAACTCTGACTACTGCTCTAACTAAACAAACATCAAAACGTCCAACACTAGCCTACCATGGGAACAGGATGTACTGTACTGTATAGTTTCCTGTTATAACAGGAAGAGATCACTTCGAATTATAGAGTGTTTTGCCGACTAAACTTCGAATTACTGCGTGACTTTGATTTATAGAGTGTTTTTTCGACGAAACTTCAAATTACAGCATGACTTCGAATTATAGAGTGTTAACCGACGAAACTTCGAATTACTGAGTTACTTCGAATCATAGAGTGTTTTTCCGACGAAACTTCGAATTACTGCGTGTTACAAATTGACCTGGCCTCTATTTGGACTTTGAAATACCGAGTGTATCAAAATGCATGGTAAAAATTTGAAATATTGAGAGATTCTCTAGGGACTGAGCCTTCATTTTGAATTATCGAAAGTTTTGAATTATCAAGTGTTTGAATTACCAAGAGTGGACTGTATCTGGTTCTTCGGCCAGGATCATTTATTGAACCAATTAGAAAGATCGAATCACTAAAAATATCTTGACATCTCTCAGGATCGAACTGGAAGCCTTCTGATCACGAGGCAAGAACTATGACAACTCAGCTGCCCAGCTTTGGTTCAACAAATACTCTGTAGTAATCAGTTACACACCCAATTTGTTGGTTTAAAAAAATCAATTGTACCTCTTTTGAGGGAATAAGCTATTACTGTAGGTCTCAGACCTGGTCCCAGACCGATTTCCTTTTTCGTTTTGATATCCCCAGAGGCCACTGTTCAACAACTGTAACACCACTGTTCAAGTTCATAAATATATGTGTCCGTTAGCACGATAACTCGAGCAAAAATAATCCGATTTCAATTAAATTTTGTACCTATGTTTATTCGAACGAGTTCGCGAACCATGGGAATAGAGTTTCATGGGGTAAAAGTTGGTTTTTCTCGTTTTTGGCCCTTAAAAACATAAAATTTCCCAATTTTTCTCTCTAGACCATTTTGAATAGCTTAAAAACAATTAATGTAGTATATTGAAGTGTTTTGTATGATTAATGATTATTGGTTACGTGGAAAATTCCAAAAATTTAAAATTCCCATGTTATTCTTATGGAGAATAAGTAAACTTGTTGTAGTTTGCTTGCTTATGGATATATTTTTATCAAACTTGGCAGATCTATTTATTTTATACTAAGTTAAATTATTAATGTTAAAAAACACACTTTGTTACCCTCCTTGTAGCAGCAAACCCAGGTACTGGTTCGTTAAGCCTAATGTTATTGAAATAGGCCTAGATTAAATTAAATTTAATTGATTTAATGTTTAAATCGATTAGTCTACAGGTTTACTGCGGTGGGGGTATTTAAAGTTATATTTTGTTAATCTAAACCACCTTTGTGGTGGAACAAATCAGTAATTTTATCAAAATGAAACTAAGAAAATAAATGTAAATAGGGCAAATTGTATTTAAAAAAAACCCCAAGTACCAAAAGCTCAAGAAAACAGAAAACAGATAACACAACTACATGTAGGATAACTGTAAATGTAGCCTAACTCAAAAATATTTCTTTTCAAATGGAAAAAAAGGAGAAACAAATTTTATTCAAATATTGTTCCCGAATTTGTTTAAATGAATTTAATTTTTTGTCCGATTTTCAATTGATTATTTAGTACCGAGCATTGCTCGAGAAGTTTGATTTGTTTAAGAAGAGGTTAAAAAATAAAACCTATAAGCCTTCAAATATTTTAAGTTTTGCGATTAATTAAGTTGTAAAGTCAATTCGTTTTTGGTAGAAATTCACTCATTCTTAATTTACCTAACAAACTTTTTCATGTAGACGAGCAATCTATATTGAAAATTGCTACATTAAACTTCAATATTAAAACTCATGAGATGCATAACATTTTTTGACCGTTATTGCGTTAGCCACTGGGATCGCGGAACGTCGCAACTAATTACGGGATTGTGGAACAACGCATCAATTCCGGGGGCACATTGTCGAAAACTACAAAACGTCCTTGGCCTTTCCTCTAGACTTTTAGTTAAATATTAGACGTTTTGCAGTTACGTTTTTGAACAGTCGTAATCCTTTGGTTAGTAATACATCATACACCCCAAATTTATTATATAATCAATGCTCAATAGCATTCATAGGAATGTCCTTTTTCCTTTGTACTGTATTTTGTAGTTTGCTACTGTACTGTAGATGATTTGTTACAAGCATATGTTACAATTCAATTGTTTACATTTTCGTAAAACTGCCATAGATACTTGACAGTCCATACTACTAATGTTAAAAATATTATAATTTCATTTTTAGTTTTTGAAGAAAAAAATAATTTTCCCAGAACAGAGCCTAGCATGGATATTGTTTTTAGCTAAAACTAAGACATTTCTAACAATTGGAGGAATTCATCGGAGCCGTTTTTTAAATAATTGTGCGCAAACGTTAGTTACTCATATTATAGTATAGATTTATTTTAACCCACAAACAATATTGCAGGTAAATGTTGTTGATGCTGAAAACCGCACACCTCTCATGCTAGCGGCCCGTGTTGGACAGTCATCCATTGTGTCACTGCTGTTGAAGTACGGGGCTTCTCTTGACGCTTGTGACAACAACGGTAACTACAGTAATATTTAGCAAGAGTATATGGATAATTTTCAACTTTTTAATGTTAAAATATTAACAAGTATATAATTTGTTGCCATTCATCTTCTATCAAACTACCAGTAACCAGATACTTGGATAAGTAGGTATTTTAAGCCAAGTATGAATGGAGATGAGTGTAGGATGAGTGGCGCGATCTTGTAGTCTTGTTAGTGACTAAAGCCGACATATTCCTTAGACACAGCTGTTAATTAATAGCCCATATAGCTAATGGCAACTAAGGGACCTACAGTTTATAGTGGAATCCGAACCACATTTTGCCTTGGCTAGTGCGGACATCCACTAGCGGCTAGTGCGGATAATCCACACCAGGGAGTATCGCATCCACAGTGCATTTCTATAAATACCCACAATTCGTGACCTCCTAGTAGCTGGATTACAGGACGACACCACCGTCCCAGTCTATAATGAATGTGTTATCAAACTGTTAGAAAAGAACTATTTTTTATTCTTTTTTAATTGTCTAAATATTTCAATACAATTATAAAAATTTTTATTTAGCAACAAAATCTCACTAGATTCTTTTTTTATTAGACAACATCTAGCCCAGTCAATAAAGGTTTTGTGTCGAAACAAATTAGCGACAAGCAAAACTATATACCAATTGTTAGTACCCAACTAGATATACATTTTCCCAAAAGTCCCGAAAAATCCCCCCGGTGCTTTCCCCCCCACCCCCCCTCAAAGTCAAAATTGCATGGTTTTACTAAAACACGTCTAGTTTACGTACGAGTTGTCTAATTCGGTTAAATAATAGCTTGTTGTCTTTAGAATTAAATTTCCTACAAAAAATATTATATACACGATTACCGTAAATCTAACAGTTTTTCCGTAATTTTAGTGTAATTGATGAAATTGTGAAAATATTGACACTGTTATTTTGGATTTTCTACTGTATTTTGTTTATTTGCGAGAAATTCAAAGAATAGTTTGTATATAGGTTGTAGAGCGTTTTCTAACGAACACATACATATATATAAGTCCAGGATTCTGATGTAAATGTGGGCGGTAGTGTAGCCTAAATAGACAATAGTCGGAGCGCTTGGCGGGCGACCCCGCAGAGCCGCGCCAACGCGACCGTCGAGTATTCATATATAAATAAATAAGGACAAATGCGATTGCATGTTTGAGTTGATAGAGTTGAATTTACATCATTTGGGACGCTATATTATCCTCATTTGCAATTCTTGCAATCAAATGCGACCCCTTACTGTTCATTCAATAAATTTAATAAGGTACTATAATTTTATTTTTAAGAAAACTATATCGTTTAAAACGAAATCAAGGCTGTTAGTTTTAGTTCAGGAGAGTTTCACTCCAAACCCTTGACATGGTATTACATTATCCACCACCTATGGACCCGCCGTGTCCCCGTCTGAAATTCTTAATTTTTATCTCATATTGACGAAATTTATAGCATCACGAACCACCTCCTTGCCATTTATGAAACTTAAATACTAGACTGAGTTTAGTTTGTTAGGCATTTTTCTGAGAAGGATGATGTGTCAAGTCGTTTTATTGATACCCAGAATCTCCAACAACCAAACAAAAAGAACAACTGAGAAGAGCTACACAGAAAACTTATAATCAGAAATCATAATTATTACTGATTCAACGAGATGTGCTACTGCAAAAGTAAACTTTTTTGGCAATAAAAAGATTAAAACAAGAATGCTGCAAGCCGTATCATTGGAGATGAAACGGATGGGTGTTACCACATAGTCATTTACTGCTGAAGAGGACGCCGGCTACATTGTCAACATCACCTTAAGAAAATCAAATCAAAACTACAAAGTTATTGTTGTTGGTACGAACACTGACCTTCTAGTCGCGTTAGTAGCTTTGGCTCCGCCAGGGAAAGACATATATCTTTTTAAACCTAGTTGGCCTAGTAGTGCTATAGTGTAATGTTTGAAAGCTAATAATTATGATCGGTAAAGCTAGTAAGTGATTGGTTATTTGTGGATATAAGAGATTGATTATTATTTGTACATGTGATAACTGGGTGTGACACCACTTCATCTTTCTACGGCTTAGTAAAATTGAAAGGAATGGACGTGTTAAGGTCTTTACTGCTGCTAAGAGTCAGGCAGTAGTTTGCAATGACAAAATGCGTCTGTTAAGCGGTTGTTGACTAATGGAGAGACATTTGTGTTAGGAATCTATGGGCTGGATAGGTACGCTAATTTAAATTAAGCTCTTTATTTTAAATTCACTATAATGACAAAGAAAGCCTCTTAGAGATCCAATTTTGATCTGGCTATACTGCCTCCCACCAGTGAAGCATGTACTAAGAGTGTACCTACAAGTAAAAAGGTGGATTGGTAACAAGCTCTTGTCAACTAAATGGGGCTGGAAATAGAATCTATCAAAGAAAACGAAGGAGAAACTAGATCTCTAAGACTAGTAACTAGTCATAAACCAATTGCGCCAAACAAACGGTTAACGTTAATTTCCTGATAATGTAAGCAAACATGCGGAAACTATTGCGGGTGTTGTAAGTTGGACACTGTAATGGTCTAAGGTAATTTTTGGCGTATTTGCAATCAGGCCCTCTGACTCCCTACTCTTCAACTGAGCAGGGTCTGTCCTCTCACTTCTTGTTTTCTTATTCTTCCCAAGTATGGACCAACAGTCTTCATCTTTCTATCTCTGCTCTCTTCTTCTCCCAACTTCTGTCCCTCCTGTTCCTTCTTCTGTTATAGGAGACCCCACGTGTTAGGTGGACCGTGCTGAGGGGTGGATAGCACCAGGCCTCTTCTGAATGGTACCTTCACGAAACCATGCGCCCTCCTGAAGTAATCAGCCTTACCTGGACATGCAGGGCTCTTTCAGATCTCTAGCGAGAAGCTCGAACGTGGGGTAGTACCGCAAGTCATGGAAAGGGAAGTAAAAATGCCTTTGACCTTTGAAGAACTACCCGAAACCAGGAGATCCTGGTGAAATGGGCGATCCTCGTAGAGTAGGGCAGAGCAGGGCATGAACCCGCTGGTACCTACGCTTCTTAGAACAGGGCATGGATCCTGAAGAAGCCAGGAAAAAAGGAGGAAAGGAAGGCATCAGCAGCTCAGGACAAACCGGCGCTTAGAAAGGAGAAAAAGGGCACACAAGAAAGTACTCCACCCCTGAATAAAAACTCTTTGAGAATGTTGACAGGTTTTCCAACTGGACATTGTAGGCACAGAGGTCATCTGGGAGAAAAAAAGAACATTGTTCAGGAAAGTGACTGCCGATTCTGTCAATCAAGGGAAGAAACGCCCAAACATACAGGGTGGCTGAAAAGTAACTTTCACCCCCCTTAACTTTTCAACCATTTGAGATATTTGAAATCTGTTTGTGGCAACCTTCTTAGCTATTAGGGGCTACAATAATTATGGTCAATTTTGAAAATTTTGCCCTTAGGGGTAGTGGGGGTAGGGGGTAGCTCAAAATTTTCAAATGACAAGTATAGTCGAGTTTGGTATCATTTTACAGGTCTTGACGAAACATACAAATTGACATAAAGAAAATAGAAATCGGACCAATAATAACGAAATGGCAGCTAAAAATTATGAAGACAATGGTTATCTATATAATTAATACGCTACATGAAACTTTGTCGGTTGAACTCCTCTGCCATTTCTTAACCGATTTTATCCATTGACGTCTCATTGGAAAGAGCGTGTCGCGTAGATTTGCAAACTGGCCTTACATTTTTGAAAAAGTCCCTTGGAATCTGCCCCATTGGCTTTGAAAGTTCCCATGTTATCCTTATGGAGAACACAATTGTTTACATTTTGATCAGCTGTATAATTTAATTGCTGTTATTTATTTTTCAATTCAATGAAACGCATTGAGTACATTTATTTACTACAGTATTTGAGTTTGTGTAAACATAACCCCCAAGACGGATCGTGTTAGTATGGTTGTATCTCAAATTTGTGCATTTATCGTTGTTGTGTGTAGCTATAATGTGTTTAATTGTTGTTTTTTTCTTTTAAATGCCTACGACATGACGACAACTAATCATAGACAGGAGGCGTAATCGTGATAACGACCGTAGCTAACAGAACAGTGGCGCGTAATAGGCTTAACTCATCACAGTCAGCACCTGACCCTGGACAATCTCAACTATTAAGTTATAAATGCGCCCTAACACTACCCCAAAACGACTTTTTGTTCTCAATTGGCCCTCTATCAATGACCTGTGTTGCCTCTCGCCTGTACATCGAGGCATTTTGAGAAGGAGAAAACAGGCCGGAATGCTTTAGGTTTATCAATAACGAAGATAAACATGGTCTGTGTTACACACCGACCGGTAATGTTTGAGTTGACTCTTTTGAACTCATTGTAAATATGACTGTTATTCGTTTTGAAATAACTCCTGTAATACTTTGCAATTGCTCGAATTCGAGCAACGTGTACACTAGTTAAAAGTAATTTTGAACTGCCATTTTGTTCCCCCCACTATCCCTAAGGGCAAAAATTTCAAAATTGACCATAACTATTGTAGCCCCTTATAGCTAAGAAGGTTGCCACAAACAGATTTTAAATATCTCAAATGGTTGAAAAGTTAGGGGGGGGGGGGTGCCAGTTACTTTTCAGCCACCCTGTATATTGGCTGAATGTGATGCAGTTTGACGAAAGAGAGCCAAGAGCTTAGGAATGCACCAAGTAGCAGTTAGAGATTTTCCGCAGTTAGAACTCGACCTGACGCTGAACTTCATTAAGGAGTTAGGATTGGGGATGGTTCTCTAGGCTAAGACTGGAGACTAGTTTAAGGGACACAATAGATCTTACAGGTCGCACTGTAATCTTCCCCCCAAGTATCTTTAGTACCATTTATCAGTAGTGGTTTAATTTGCCATAACGCGTCTACAACAATTGAAGAGGACCAAAACGAAGATGAGTAAAGATTAAGTCTCTTAAAGGGTGGGAGGGTGGTACTTGATGCTATAAATTTTGTTAATATGAGATAGTTTAATAATTAACCATTTATTCAAAACTGCCGGTTTTGCCAGACCGGGACACGGCGGGTCCATAGGTGTTGGATATTGTAATACCATTTCAAGGGTTAGGAGTTGATATTTCGTTTTGAACGATATAGTTTTCTTAAAAATAAAATTATAGTACCTTATTAAATTTATTGAATGAACAGTAAGGGGTCGCATTTGATTGCAAGAATTGCAAATGAGGATAATATAGCGTCCCAAATGATGTAAATTCAACTCTATCAACTCAAACATGTAATCGCATTTGTCCATATTTATTCCATATTTGTTCCATATTTATTTATTTCGGGGTTGCCCGCCGAGCGCTCCGACTATTGTCTATTTAGGCTACACTACCGCCCACATTTACATCAGAATCCTGGACTTATATATATGTATGTGTTCGTTAGAAAACGCTCTACAACCTATATACAAACTATTCTTTGAATTTCTCGCAAATAAACAAAATACAGTAGAAAATCCAAAATAACAGTGTCAATATTTTCACAATTTCATCAATTACACTAAAATTACGGAAAAACTGTTAGATTTACGGTAATCGTGTATATAATATTTTTTGTAGGAAATTTAATTCTAAAGACAACAAGCTATTATTTAACCGAATTAGACAACTCGTACGTAAACTAGACGTGTTTTAGTAAAACCATGCAATTTTGACTTTGAGGGGGGGTGGGGGGGAAAGCACCGGGGGGATTTTTCGGGACTTTTGGGAAAATGTATATCTAGTTGGGTACTAACGATTGGTATATAGTTTTGCCTGTCGCTAATTTGTTTTGACATCGGCTATATATTTGTCTTTATTGACTGGGCTAATCTCTTTAATATAAAGTTTGGAATGTAAATTCAAGTCTGTTGCTAAGCAAATGTAAAGTAATTAATTCAAAATAACAACAACGAACAATTAGATGCATTTAGAACCGTGGTGGTAGAATGTAAGCTGTAGTAAGTTGAGAGTGAGCTACAAGGAAAAATGCGGGTGGAGTAGAAAAGTATGTGCAGAGAAGAAAGCGGATGGTGGCCCACGTGAAGAGCTATGGAGAAGAGTACGAGCAGAAAAGAAGAGAGCAGACAGCGGCGGTGGCCCACGTGGAGAGCTACGAAGAAGAGTGCGAGCAGAAAAGAAGAGAGCGGATGGCAGCAACGGTGGCCCACGTGGAGAGCTACGGATAAGAGTACGAGCAGAAAAGAAAAGAGCGGACGGCAGCGACGGTGGCCCACATGGAGAGCTATGGAGAAGAGTACGAGCAGAAAAGAAGAGAGCGGGCAGCGGCGGCGGTGGCCCACGTGGAGAGCTACGGAGAAGAGTACGTGCAGAAAAAAAGAGCGCGGACGGCGGCGATGGTGGCCCACGTGGAGAGCTACGGAGAAGAGGACATGCAGAGAAGAAGAGAGCAGACGGTGGCCCACGTGGAGAGCTACGGATAAGAGTACGAGCAGAAAAGAAAAGAGCGGACGGCAGCGACGGTGGCCCACATGGAGAGCTACGGAGAAGAGTACGAGCAGAAAAGAAGAGAGCGGGCAGCGGCAGCGGTGGCCCACGTGGAGAGCTACGGAGAAGAGCACGTGCAGAAAAAAAGAGCGCGGACGGCGGCAATGGTGGCCCACGTGGAGAGCTACGGAGAAGAGGACATGCAGAGAAGAAGAGAGCAGACGGTAGCCCACGTGGAGAGTTACGAAGAAGAGTACGAGCAGAAAAGAAGAGAATGGACGGCGGCGACAGTGGCCCACGTGGAGAGCTACGGGGAAGAGTACGAGCAGTAAAGAAGACAGTGGACGGTGGCGATGGTGGCCCACGTGGAGAGCTACGGAGAAGAGGACAAGCAGAGAAGAAGAGAGCAGATAGAGGCTCACGTGGAGGACTTCAGTTTGTAAGCACTGTTGGTGCTAGAGATTTGTTTATACCACCACAAAAATAAATTGTTCCTTTGTATTCTATGTTTCATGCCTACGATTTTAAGGTTGGAAGTCTTAGTTAAGAAAATTGAGAATATCGGAAATTAGCTTACGTAATGTTGAGAAGACAGTCCATAACAAAGATAGCCCAATTTGAAACTTGTGAACCTGTGCGGCTCAAAATAACATATGAAATAATCTGATATATTTTAGAAAACAAATTCATAGTGTTATTTAGGATTTTTTGAGAGGATAGCAGGCTTACCTGAAGGGGAAAGAGTCCAAACTGGCACAGGAAACACAAAACTTTACAACTATAGCCTGCCATCCTCTCAAAAAATCCTTAATACCTAGGCCCTTGTGCTCTATGTTACACCCTTAACCTCAAATTCATAGTGTTATTTATTAGTCGAAAATAAAATACAGTAATAGCCTTAGAAGGGAGGCGGTTCAGCCATTTCCTAGCTGCATGTGTCATATATTTTAGTAAAATAATAAGTTTTCAAGTAAATACCTCCCATGTTATCTTTATGGAGAAAAAACTTACTTTAAGGCTGAATTTAAGGCTCACACCCTTACCAACGACTTTATCTAAAATACAATACTTGTTCACTGGTTATATCAATTACATATGGTAGTCCTTTCACTTTTATTAATCTTGTTATTCTCACCTATTAAAATTGTGCATTTTCCCAACTCCTCTCTTTTCTTTTTTTTTACAATATCAGGAACTTATTTTGAGAATGACATGTTGCCTAAAAATCATCACCTATGTATGAAGCATCTAGGGCCTCAGTTTGCCCCTTCTACATAAGATAACACCTTACTGCACGACAATTAAAAATATTGTATACTCAAATGTTGATGTTTGTAAAATGCTGTGAATGCTTCAGGTTGGACTGCAGAAGACTATTCAATGATAGGTGGTCATGAACAGCTTTCATTGGAGCTGAAGATTCCTGGCAGCTCCTCTGGTCCTTCTACTATTGTGGTTGTGGAAGACAGAGAGGTACACAGCGCTGACCACAATACCACAGAGACTGTCGAGAATCCATCAGAAGTAAGTATGCAACTGGTTACAATCTGATCAGTCAAAAGTTCCTCCTTATATGTTTTCTTTGTCCATTTTACCTATTTAAAGTGTGCTCAATACCAAAACTATTTGCTGTAAAAAAATCCACCCCACCAAAATGAGTTTATGTTGTATCTAACAATAAAGTTTGACATTAAGAAGTATTGCAGATGCAATAATGTTTGAAACTTAGTTACAGAATTCATTTTTGACCAATTATTTATATAGGTCCCGATGACTGAACCTGTAGAGATTCAAGATGAAGTAGACCCTGAAGACGATTGTGGGGAATCTCAAACGGTTAAATCTCCAACATATGTAAGTTTAAATTTTGATAAACTCATAATCAATAAGTTTATAGTAGTATCAGGTAAAAATGCATCTTCATAATTGCCCTGCAAAGTTAAATTTAAAAGAAATTAAATTCCTATTATTTTAGACGCCAATAAAGTTTTACCAGTTTTTTTGGCAATTTGTATTCAAAATTATTTTGGTTATTAGTCTTAGGATTAAGCCTAATGTAAAGTTTCATAAAGTTGAGTTGGGATATTATCTTTTGCTCTCCCAATGTGAATTGGTTTATAAAAAAAATTGTTAGGACTTTAAAAAAACCATCTGTAGACCAAAGTGTATAATTTAAATTCTGTTTGGACCAATAGCAGAGCCAACCACTTGGATGTAGGCCTACTGTTGCTATCAGCAATTATCTGTTGACAGAAGCAATTTTATGTGGTAAAATACAGGAATATTCTTCACCTCTGTTAACACAAGGATATTATTAGGAAAAGTTGTTTAACGACACTAATTTAAAGTTAACATCTTACTGAAACCTACTACTTCTAGAATAATGCAACACAATGTAATAATTGTGAAAAGCAATGAATAAAAATGAATAAATAAATTTTGTCAGAATTAGCAGGCAGCAACAAAGTGAGTGTTTTGATATGAGGCAAAAATACTATTTAGAGCTTCTACCTGAGGCAAAATCTCAACTTGAGACTGCTGCATCAAACTAAAGGTAGGGCTTTACTAGATAGGAATTGAAACGGATGATAGACAAAAAGCAAGGACAAGAACCACACAAAATCTGGCCCTGAAGCTATACTAAACGGGACAAGGAGTGGCAACTGCCAGGTATAATTTCTATTGTGAGGTTGCCCTTGTAGCTCGCTGAACAATTTCTGACTGAGCGTCCTTTGTGTCCAACCTGAATTTTTGTCTGAATCCTTTCCTTTTCCTTACCTGCATAGGCAGCCCATGAGAACAATTACGACACACAGTGAAAAAAACCCCTTGACAAGAAAATGTCGATTGACTGCTCTTTTGAGGATTCAATAGTGTCTAGGAGAGAGTTAGTGTCGCAGGTTACTTCACTGGGTGTTATGTCCCAGAATCTTAGGAGAAAGCATTCACCAGAAACTTTCCTGTCCTTTTCCTTCCCATGTCCTTTCTTGTGTAGTGAGTGTAGATCAAGCTTAAATATCCAACAAGGGAAACAACACCAATCAGTCACGCCCAACAAGGCAAAAAACTCTATTTGGTGCTTTTGTAAGAATGATTTGGTCAATCAATCATGTAACAGCAATATTTTGAATTTTAAAATATCGAAATACATGTTTATGTGTGTATATGTAATAGTTAATGTAATAAATAGCCCAGAAATACTATGGAAAACGTTTTTATACTGAACAAATTATTAATACATCTTTTTAACAACTACACCAAACCAAACCAAACCATACAAAAAGTAAACAAGACAATTAATATTTGATCAGGTGATGATGTAAAGACAAGATGAGAAATATTACTTCTCTAACATATGTAACGCCTTACTTTATTGAATCAAAATTTTCTAATAGCTTTTTCACAGTTGATGAATTTATGCTTACATTGTTCACCCTTATAAAGGCCAATGTGGTATAGGCCCTACATATGTTTTGAATTATGAAATGCAAAGACTCTTGATCCAATAGTGTCGCATACAAACTAGCTGCTTTCTTACACTCGCTGTTATGGTGGTTGGCTAGTAGCTTTGCCGTAACGGTTGCAGACTTCGCTGGTTGCGGAGGAGGAACCGCAAGATTCCCCCCGCTCCTGCATCACCCCCCCTCCCCTCAACCCCCCTCGCAGTTGGGAGATCATACAAGCTGGGATGATAGATGAGACGCAGGTACCGGTATGTCTAGATGTTGCGTCAACATTCAGTTATGTTTGTTTTACCTTACACTCATCATTTCTGTAATAGATGTGATCTTTCGGCTTGGCTTTGGTTGGGCTAATTAGTTTTTTTGATTGAGTTATTCTTACTTTATTTCAATCTTTTGGTGTTAGTAAGTAATGTATTTTTTCAGGAAGCAGACCTAAAAAAGGTCTCTTCTTGCAAAGAATACAAGAACTGAAAATGAAACTCCCAGCAGTTATGAAAGTTCTTTTTCCATGGCTTTACAAATTCCAGCTAAACTTTGGTTAAGTGCAAATTTATTATTTTGAATATAGGAAAATTTTAGGTTCTCTCTTTTGAAGTGTCTAACTTAATATATTTTTTATTAGTGTTTAAAACAATTTTGAAGTTATTAAATACAGAGCACACTGTAAACCTAAAGCATTAACTTTTTGATTTGGCAGGCGATCTCATACTTGAATATTTTATTTTTTTGCATTTTAGTCACGATAAATGATCAGTCTATTGAACCAATAGGTCTGTTTTGCATCCTAGTATTTTATTGCTGTGTTTTTTTTATTTCTTATTTTCTTTTCTTTAGATATTTCTGTAAAGTATATAATATATTTTACCCCACAGATATGAAAGAAATACTTATTTTCAGGTAAGACGCCGCAGCTTAATGGCCCTAGGAACTCTGGAATCGCACCGAAATAGTTTTGTTGAGAATGGAAATGGAAATGGCAATACGAACATTAATGGAAATAGTATGGGTGACGACTTGGATACGTTTGATCACTCTTTTATTCCACCAGCAGTTAAAAGTGAGTCTAACCCTTGATATTTTTTAATGTTTTTCTTAGCATGTAATGAGAAATTTTCACTACACATACACTTTTTTTGGTATCAAATCTTGTGAACTTTTTGTCTGCTAGTTTCCTTTGTCTTCACATTGACTACATAAGAACATCAAGAGGAAAAGGCAAAAAGGTAAATTAGCTATAGGCCTAATGTTTTTGAAAATAGATCGGCTGTACAAAGGATTTTTGTTGAAACATTCCTGTTAGTTTGATGATATGTTACAGTCATGGACATGGAGGATGGCATGGACGACATCAGAGTTGAGTCGGATGCAGACTGGGACAGTGATGATAGTCTGCCACTCGACCGCAGCCTGCCTCCACCTCCAGACTTCCCAGACTCCTCCCTGGAGTCCTTCCTCCCACTGCCGGAACTGGTGCTCACCCCAGACCCTTCCCTTCCTCCACATATCCCGGAGCTCATCATCACACCAGACCGCCGGAGTAGGATAACACTGGAGCGCACTCCGTCCCTAGATCTGACCGACAGTGATATAATGGTGTGTATGTTCATCTCAGTTGCTTTCAACTGCAATAATCATTTTTGTCTTCGGCCATTCTATTGCAGAATTGATTTTTAATCTTAAGTGTAAATACAAAAATTGAGGTGTGTTGAGATAGGGTATTACCAAACAAGAAGGTTTAATCAAAACTGCTTGTATTTTGTTTGTTTTAGAAGCAGGGATATTTGAAGAAAATTGCACACAAACATCCTTGGTCGTTGTATTTCTTCTGTTTTTGTCCCACTCTCACATTCTAGAACGTTGGCTCTAGCCCAGAACCTTGCACACATTACTTCTGGCTTGGCCTAGAGGGTTGCGACATTATCACTTTGATTTTAATCTATTGGTGATCGGCGAGATTCAAACCAGAGACTTTCCACTAGACTAGGCTTACTCCCCCACTTGAGGGAACTACATTGTTTACACTCTATATAAGCACATTAAAATTATCGTAATCCCTATAAAATAGTGATTTTATGAATTAGTTTTCCCTGGCATGAAGAAAACTATGTTTTAGTCAAAGCAAACCTAAGTTTATGATGCCTATGACTTTTCACTGATATTTGCCTGTTTTGTTTTTAGATATCCCCTGATGGAACATTAGGAAGAGACGGAACAATGAAGTGTTCAGATGAAATATGGGAAACAGCAAATATTCCAAGTCCAGTAGAAAAGTCAAGCACTCATCTTACTATCACAAATGCTGCAGTACATGATACCGGACAAACTGATGTTCTTGATAACACCAAAGAAGAAAATGCCAACGTTATGGACAATTTAACTGTCATTACGGACTTGAAATTTGTGAATAAATCACAAAAAGAAACTAAAAGGTTTGTGAGAGAATCTCAGTCACTAGATAACCTTGATGATTGTGGTTCCAAGTACAGTGAGATAGAAAGTTCCCAGTCTTGTGATAAGCTTGATAGTGAACAGTTCAGCGGAGTTTACTCTTTGGAAACTGAAGAGAGCACAAATGACGTATTTACCCAGTCGCTAGACAGCCTGGAAGAAGAATCGCCTGTGGGAACGGTGGTGAAGCGGAATGTCTTCCATGAATCACACTCGTTGGAGTTACTTGATGAAGCGAAAAAACCAACTCACCATCACTCCAGAAATAAGTCGGTGTCAGTGTCTTCCTACAACTGGAGTAAAAGCGTGGATGTTCTAAGCAAGCCTGCCAAGTCAGACGTGACTTGTTTGGATGCAAGGAGTATTGATGAGCAGCTGCAGTGTTATGATGAAGCTCTCAGGGAATTGGCCGAGGAACAGAAAATAAAGGAAGAGTTGTTGAACAAAGTTCTGGAGGGGAGGCATTACGCCAAATCTAACCTGAATCCTAGTCTAAGCTGTGATATGCTGGAACCTAAAAGAGGAGCTATTTCCAAAACAGGTCTTTCACTGACGCAGAAAGAACAGTCTAGGTCTCTGCGACTAAACAAGAGCTCTGTAAAGATCAGTAGCTTGTCTAATGCAACTGGAGAAAACCACCACCATATGAAAAAGTCAAATACTGTAGATGTGTTGAGCCTGAAGTATTGTACTTTGGAAAAGTCTTTGGATGGTGGTGTAAACTATGATGTGGAAAATTATCCAAAGAATAGGTGCCAAAGAAAACCGGATCATCCGAGTTTGGAGGCTGGATGTGATTCTAGACCTGAAAATAAACTTCCACCAAAGTCTCAGAAGTATTTGGAAAATAAAAAGCCCTCAAAACCGAGAAGTAATTCTACCTGTTCTAGGAACAAAATATATTCTCACGAGAACAGACATAAGTTCTACAATAGTTTGGAGCTCCCGCCTCGATGTAAAAGAGGAAAAGGTTCAAGGGATGAAAGCAATAATGGAATAATGGATTGGAAACGAACCCTTACTGTATCAAGTATGCCCGAGAGGCCAAATCAAGGGAAAAACTATCCTGATTCAGCTCAATCAAGTAAAACTCTCTCTGAAAATACCAAGAAAACTGATGCAAGTCCCAAACGTCCTATGCGAGTAAAGAAACTGAGAAAAGAGTTGTCTGATACTACATACACTAAGAAAAGTGACAGTCATGAGTCTAAGAGAAAAGCTGTTGGACGATCGATATCATTGTACATGGAGAGGATGAAATATGAAGAACCAACAAAGAAAGTCAACTCTGACGGTAAAGAACGTCTTTTATGTGAAAAATCAGAAAGTGATTCAGATTGGAGTGAAAGGTCACTGCATCACAAACGTAAGAAGTTTGGTGCAATGAGAGATGCAATTGTGGACAGTGAAGATTCTGATGAGGATCCTCCGTTTTGGGTCAGCACAGGAAAAGAAGGAGGTTTCTCTCGTCAAGACACAGTGATTCACAATCAACATGCTTCTGCCAACAGTGGCATGTAAGTATTTGCCAAAGTCAGTTTGGACATAATTATATTAAAATTCTTAATTTTACATCCTCCACTCAATTTCATTTATCCGCCCTCTAAAATACTGTGTAAAACAGAGCTAGAAATTTGTTTTGTAAAAATATTCGGAACGGATAAAATGTTTGGTAGTTGTAGTACTTCTTTAACATCTGTGCTTGCCTGCTTTTGAAGAATCTAGTAGTTATTTACTTAAGATAATTAACGGATTATTAAAATCAGTTGAGTTTATTAATTAAATTAGCTAAACAAGTTTCCCAATTTCAATTACACTAAACCTATAAAACCTTTGCAGTGTTTTACAGTTTCAAATTATCCCACCACAACCAATAGTTTTATCTGTTGGATAGTTCTGTCAACCAACGAATATTTTTTTTTTTACTTTATTTAATTTACAATCTGTTCAAGTTGAACAATAATCAAATGATATAAATAGTAATACAAAAATAACTTGAATAACATGAGTACCAATGAAGATAACTCAAGATTTAAACAGGTTTTGAACTAAATTTTGTTATTACGTTAAGTTCATAAAAGGGTTTTCTTGTTCTAGGAAGAAGGATTCAGACGAAGAAAAAGGCGAGAGAGAAGGTATGAAATTCAAACCTTAATTACCTGAATGAATCATCAGGTCAATCAAAATATAATTTGACTGTCCCAGTCAATAAATAATAATAATTAAAGTTTATTTATAGTAATATTCTTATAATTTTTTTTGAAAAACTATTTTCTGTTAATAGTGTTAATGTTTGTAGCTGCAATACTATGTAATGTTTACTGGACTTGGAAATAAGTGTAAAATTGGTTTTATTTTACACTTGTTTCCAAGTCCAGTAAACATTACATAGTATTAAAACTATGTAGCTGGTTTAAAATTGTAATTACATCCCAATAAAGAAACTATCGTCCTTTTACAAAATTTAGGCAGTTTAAGGAGAAGGCTTCCTGGATTCCCCCATAACTTTTTTAATATTAATCTATATATCAAGTGATCATCTGTTGGCTGTTGTTTCAAAGTTAGAGTGATGTGAGGGATGGAATCGCTTACCCTCAAACCGCCTAAATTTTGTGAACTGAGTACAGTACAGTTATTTGTTTAGTATATAACTTTGCTGCTTTGTGCTTATTTATCTGATATCTTAATTTTTAAAGTTGTTTGTAAACACTGTGTAATTGATTTAGCTTAGTATTCATTTGGGCTACTACAATACTACTACTTAATGTAATACTTTGCATTGAACAGCTGACCCGCCTAAGCAAGTTAACGCACAATGTTTTAACTTAGTAAACATATTTAAAAAATAACAAATTATAACAAGTTTTAACAATTTTGCATAGAAAAAATGTACTGCTTCAATTGTTTTTTTTTTAATCAGTTTTTGATATTTAAAAAAGTTGTGAGAACAATCAAGTAGGCCTCCTAACTTACACAAAATTAATCATTACGGTGTAAATGTAAATTCTATTGAATAAACCTTATTGATTATAGTATGAAATGTTAGTACTAAGTAAACATAGTGTGAATGCTAGTGTGAGAATGAGATTTATTTAGACAGTATATATTTATGCAAATACATTGGCATCCATGAAAAATTATCTGTTAGGCTACATTAATTCAAGTTAGTCCACCTACTTGACATATATTCTTCTGGAGTTAAATGGCTGATTACAAAGAAACGTTACTCTATTTTATTTAATCTTGTACTAAACAAATGCTAAACATAGTATGAATGTTTGCTTTTAACACAGTATGTAGTGTTTTAGTTATGACTGTATGTATTTTACAGGTAATGAAGATGCGAGTACCAGTTCAGACTCAGGTTCTGCCAGTATCTCACAGTCGGACGCCACTCCTTCTCATTCTTATATTTTGAAGGTAATGTCTGTTAGTTAGTTGCTATATCTTTTCTGTAAAAAAAATTACATATTCATTATAAAAAAACTAAAGATTCAAGAATGTTCAAGGGTTGTCCAAAAATTAAGGTTTCCAAAAAGCTTTAGTCAATCAAATCCAAACAAGCTACTAATCTTGCACTATCTCCACGATAATTACTTCCCTCACTTTTCACTACTATTCTAGACTGTTACCACTTTTTACCTACAATGCTATGTTGCACTAACCAATGTGAGGCGAAATTATCACTACTGCTATTCAGGTTCTGCAATTACATTTTTTATCGGAGCCAATTCCTGTTGAAGTTGTTCCTAGTTGATGGATGTGCATGTAGAAAAGTGTACTAAAGTAAAGAGTGTGTGTATAGAGCTTAGTGACTTCGTAGAATGCTGAACACTTTGCAACCATGAAGCCAGCAGCAGGTGTGTCTATCAGTTTGTACCTAGGCTTGTTTTAAGACTACCAAAGTTTACCGTTGACCTTGGTGTCTTAGAGATGTTCCCTATTAATTTAGACATCTTATTTAGCTATACAGTACCAAGATCCCCGTTGCTAACCTTGGTTATTGACTGAAATGAAACTGATGAACGACCACGGCTGTGCAAAACATGAACGTTTTTACCAATATCAGAAAACTCCTCCCACCCCTTGCGCATATTTTCCATGACAAAACACTATTATCCATGCAGACCATCAACTTGTGATGGGCTTATTAAGGATTGACCCTCTTGCATCTCACAAATCTTATCACAGAAATTTAGTCATACTTGATGGGTTTGTTGATATTCCCTCATATCGTTGTAAGCTAAGAAGTTGGAAAATAGCTACAACAATAATGAGTTAAAGAACGCATGCCGGAACTGGAGCTCATTTCCAGACATCCCTTCTACGTACAGAGTAAAAATGCAACCCTCAAACACTCTAATTTGCCACTGATTTGTTTTACAGAGTCATCATAGCATGCTGAAAGACCACCTTAAACAAACGACTGAGGAGAAAACGAAACTAGAAGAGACGGCGGCCAAACTTAAGGAACAAAATGACAGAATCCAATACGACTTGGCTGATGCAAATCAAAGTATTGTAGTGAGGGATGACAAAATAGTAATTCTGCAAGATGAGCTGTCTCGCCTGAGCTCCAAATACTCTACAACTCTGGACGAGTTGAACATGCTGAAGCAACGACTCACAAACGCAGAGATCGAACTGAAACACCTACGGGATGTGACAAGGGTGAGTGACTGTGGGTCTGTTGATGCAGACGATCGTAACTATATTTATATTCCCTTTCACCAATAATATACCTTGTCTTTGTAATCGTTGATAGTAAATTTATGGTTAGTATCATTGAGTAACTTAATACCTTTGGCCATATATAAAACTAGACATATAAAAACATGCGAGTAAAATATGTGTGGCAAAGACGTCAATGCCTTTTAAAAGTCACTTGGTAAAAACAACTTATGATAATGTCATGTAATTTGCACAGTGAGTCAATCAACCCTTTAAGGTGGGATTTTTCACATGGCCGCCAGACGTTGCTTCAGTAGTTTTTCTCCAAATAAAGCCGAACCCTCTCTCGTTTTGCCCTTTTTGCTGTCCAACGATAATATAAAAATCCTGTTCAGCCAAATAACAAAGATGAAGGGTTGGTGCTGGTCATGACTAAATTCAGAATTTCATCATTAAAATATAATTCATATAAAACTAGATAGCCTGTTGCTCGAAATCGAGCAAAACTGCAACTTGTAATAAAATGATGAAGAACAAAAAACATAAACAGTAAAACCTCAATCATAGAGTCACTCTAAAGTAATTTCTATGACTGATTATAGAAATGTGAAAAATATTATGTTGAAAAAATTATATCTTTTCATTGCATTATTTGTTTTTTACATGTGCTGTTGGGTTCCAGTGCCAACGTCGTACTTATAGATCTGTGGGTTTCAAACTACGTCCATATGTTTAGTTGTAAACAAAGGGAATGGAGTTTGATGGTTTGATCTAATGTCAACAGATAGCGCCACCGTTCCCAAACTTTAGCCCTTAACTGTACTTAAGTGATGCCCTTTCTTAATATTCTGAGACGTATTTGCACATCTATGTGAAAATACCTTTAATTTGACACCTCAAACGTTAAAGTCCGTCAAACCGTTATCGAGTTATGACTGTGAAAAGAAACCTGCATATAAAATACCTAGGAGGATGTCAACTGGAATTTTAGGTCCATACAACTAAATGGGTAGAACTATTTTCAAATATTTCACTAAATTGTTCCAGTTTGCGTCATGACAATCGGGTCTCGTCAAACTGTAGCAGTGTCATATATGCGTTTCATTCAAATGTAAAACAATTCACCAACTGTTACAGATAAATATTGAAAAAGAGCACAAACCCGACCCGAGTACACAACAGCTGATCAGACAACTGCATGAAACCAACAAAGCAAAGAAAAGAATAGAATTTGAGAAGGAAACTTTGATTGCTCAACACATCATGGACATAAAGAAGCTGCAACAAGACACGATACATTGGAAGAATCTGTAAGTTGAACCACTTTCAATTTGTTTTTACAAATAGAACTTGTTATTCCATAGTCCACCAAGGCATTTTTCTTTTGGCACAAGCCTTGTTGGATACAGCTATTGAGTGCAAGTGGTGTGGATCGATTTAGAATTGGATTAAATCACAGTGTTCAATTCATCATTTATGTATGCCTAAATATTGTAATCTTGAAAGTTGATGAGAAACTAGGAATGCGGCCTCAGGTCCGCCAATTGAGCGGAGTAAGCAAGCTTTGATAAAAACAAATAACTTTAATTTGTTTTCATGATTCAAATTGAATACATGATGACGTCACCATAGCAACAATCCAATTGAATTCTTGTGCTTGGGTGGAAGAGTTAAAGGAAATATGAATCCAGTCAGCTGTTTCTATTAGGTCATTGATTTTTACTTGTATATATGAGTACTTGTCGCTGATTTAGTTAGTTAGTTTTACAATTACTATGAGTACTTGTAAAACTGTGTGTTTGTAATAGCATAAAGATAAGTATTATTTTGTCAATATCCTAATGTTTGTTTAGCTCCCATTGATGTAATAGGCCTATAGGCTTCCTTCTCATTTTCTCCAACTAAAACATTTAGCCAATTAGTAAACTTTGCTCAGCGAACAGAATGACAGAAGAAGGTGACTATATATAGCAATACCATAGTCAATGGTAACCACAGGAAATAAGGCGTGGCTAATTTCACGAGCTGATGATACCCTGAAAAAGATGGTGGTTGCCGCAACGCTTGTGGCATTGAATTGGTGATGTTTGTGCTAGCTCCACCCCGTTGCCAAAATAGGCCTACTGTTCTCAATAATAGATTAGATTTTAAAGACGGCACTGGATATAGAATTGATTAATTAAACAAGAATATATTTATTCCTCATGCTAAATTACAGCATGATTAGGTAAAATACTGTATATGCATAATAAACTACTGTAAAACAAAATTATTAAAATCATATTTAAAAGACGTTTTTATATTAGACTATGGCAATTTAATTTGAGAACTGCACTGTGTTGATGTAAAGCCTATTTATTGGGTTGTACTAAATTTCCAACCTGACATAAAAATGCCAACATGCTGTTCTGTTAGCTGTAATAATTCATCTTATAGTATTACGGAAAAAATAGGAATATTATATCAAGCTGATTTTATAACTAAACTCCCGTACAGGCCAAGCAGTCTAGGCTCTACTTTTTGTAATTATTACCTTATTATCTTCATCTTTTACCCAAAAGGGATTGATGGCGTCAGACTTTCAAATAAAAAATATATACATTTAAACAAACAGGCATAAATTACTGAACATATATTTACAACATTGGCATGTGTAATTGTAACTGTGTCTGTATACCTGCACAGAGAAAATTATTTCCACACTTATAAGTTATAAATTGGACAACACAAGTTAACAAGTTTAGTTAAATATTTAATTATAATAAATAGCTGAACTTCTGTATAGGCCTAGCAGTCTAGGCATTAGGCCTACGCATCGTAATCGTAACTGTTCAAGCCTAACCAATTATTTACACGCCTTAGTTTAAGTGGACTTCTATAAAATCTTAGGTAATTATTTATTTATTGTAGTCGCAACTGGACTTTAGTGTGCAAGCCCAGCAAATCACTGTATTTATTTAGGATAGGCTACCGTTAATAATATTTGAAAATAATGAATTCCTGCTTCGGAAATACAGTTTCTATAGTTTTCAATTTGAATACTCTCTTTTACTGTTTATAAACTAAGCACCTGGAGACAAAATCATTCCCCATTCTGCGATGCCAGCCTTTACTACTTCCTTCACCATTTCCTACGTCATTGTTTCCTTCCCTTCTCATAGCATTTAAGTATTACGGATACATTAATCTAACTGCCACAAACGGTTCCCACACTCTGCGATGCTAAACATTACTACTTCCTACGTCGTGGACGTGTTGTCATCTCTATCCATTGCATTTTAGTATTTTAAATACATTAATCTAATTGCCAACAACATTTCCCACACTCCGCACTGCTAGCATTTACTAATTCTTTAACCGGTTCCTATGTCTTGGACATCTTTCCATCCCATCTCATAGCATTTCAGAATTCTAATTTCAGATACAGAAATCGAACTGTTACAATTGGTTTCCAGTTCCCAGACTCCACAGTGCTCGCCTTTACTACTTCCTTCACCTCTTCCTACGTCGCGGACCTGTTTCCCTCCCTTCCCATTGCATTTTAAGATTGCAGATACCTTAATCTAATCCTTATAAACAGTTCCCACGCTCCGGACTGCTCGCCTTGACTACTTTCTTTACCACTTCCTACGTTTCGGACCTGTTTTCCTCCCTTCCCATAGCATTTTAAGATTGCAGATACCTTAATCTAATCGTCATAAACAGTTACCACACTCCGGACTAATATTTACCACAAAACTAATAACAACAATTAAAAGAAATAATCTGCTTGGAATAATTCGGTAAGGCCGCCAGAAATTATGCGAATCGGTGTATTGTTATTCAACGCTTAATGTTATTCATAGGACTCCTTTTCTTTTGTACTGTCTTTTGTAAATTGGCCATATGTGCATGTGCAAGCTGAGGTGCCCGTGGGTACAGAATGTCGAGTCACATACGCTACGATTCTTTGTTTACATCTTCGTTGTTATCTCGTAACCATCATGGCAACTCATAAGACTCATGTTAAACTTTGCAAATTTTATGTCGGTCTTAAATTGTACAGGTATCATCAATTTGAAATTTATTTGTTTCGAAACATCAAAAATATTTGTCGTAATACCCCTGGTAAGTTTGGATTCAATATGTTCAGCCGTTATTGAGTTAATTGATTACATAGTTTGCATAAGGTCCGATCTCAAAGAGCTTCGCTCGCTCCGCTCAATAAATAGTCGTGTCTGAGGGTGGATTGAATTTTCCACATGACTTTACTGTTTCTTTTTATTACTAGACAGAAATAGGAAAGCATTTAGCATATTGTGTTATTTTGTAAAAATTTTATTAATGAAGTAGCCAGACAAGATAGTAAACATAAATACCCCCGCCGCAGCAAATCTGCAGACTAAGCGAATTTCCGTTTGCCTGGCTGGATTTCTACTAAAATATTCCCTTAAAATTTTCAGATTTATTTCCTATTTAAATAACATTAGTTTTAGGGAGTAATTAGGTTTGCTGCTACAGGGAATATATTGAGGTGTGTTTTTTTATTGTGATGTTAATAGCATAGTAATAAATAAACAAAATGTCCAAAATTGGTTAAAATATATCCATAAACAAGCAAACTACAACAGTTTGTTTATTTATTTTCCATAAGAGTAACATGGAAATTTTAAATTTATTACTTTTTAATTATTTCCGTAACTGTTGGGTGTACAACATAGCTTCGATATAGAAAAATATTTATTTTTTTAAGCTCTTCAAAATGGTTTGGAGAGAAATTATAAAATGTTGTGTTTTTAGGATCAAAAATGGGAAAAATCAATTTTTACCCCATAAAACCCACCACAAACCCCCGTTCCCATTGTTCGATTATATGCTGGCTTGCAAACTCATTCAAATAAACGTAGGTTTACACGTTTGTACCAAATTTTTCAAAAATCTGATCATTTTTGCTTGAGTTATCGCGCTAACGGACACATATATGAATTTGAACGGATGGTGTTTTTGGCCTCTGGGGACCTCAAAACGAAAAAGCAAATCAGTCTAGGTCTAGGTCTTACCATGAGACCCACGGTAATAAAGGTAATAGCGAATTTCCCAAATAGGAAATAAGCTAAAATATAATATATTATAAATTTGCTAAAAAAAACACAATCAATATAAACCATAAAGAAATATTCATGCCTTAATCTGACCTAAATAATTAATCATACCTTAATGGATTACCTAAGTCTGATTCACAAGGATGACAAATCTAATTGGAAGTTTGTATAATCTACGATTGCGATCAATATTGTTTACTACTGAGACTGACCCATATCATAGGAAGAAAAATTAAGACAGAGCCCTTAATATTTATTTCACATACCGTACTAAATACTCAACACTCATACTCTTGCAACTGTGGTTTTATTAACTTATTTCTGCCACCTTTCAAAGTCAACCAAAACCAATTCATTGTTTTCACCAATTGTTTGTGGTCTGGCAACGAATTTGAAGCTGAAATGTATAATATGAAAATAATAGTTTTACATTTTTATAAGGTCTGATACCGGTCCGGTATATTTATAGTTCTTGAATGATTTGGTAATGCTTTTGTTTTTTGAAACAGGTATGAAGAAGCCCTTTCCAAGCTAGAACAAATTGAGGCTTTGTGTGACCCGTGCCTCATGGAAAACAACCAACATATCGACAAAATCAAAGCTGCATTCAAAAAATTCAGAGATGAGAAAAACAGCGGACGTTTGAAAACAAAAAACACTGTAAGTTCTCTTCTTATCCATGTCATGTTTAAATGTGTGTGTCTTAACTGTGTTGTCTTAGGATATTTTTCCCTTATTACATACATTTTATTGTTTTCTTACTGATTAATCGTTTATTGATAACTACAAGAGAGCAAACAGTATGTTGTATGTTATGTGTGTTATCGTAGGTCTTGCCAAAACATACAATAGAGATTTTGTGAGCATCTAGACTTAATATGTAAAGTTGTGGTTTTTTTTTATAACAAAAAATTAGTACCTAAGCATAAATAAGGTTTAATATTTAAATATTGTCCCAAGCTATGTCATAAGTGCTTAGGTCCTGGATCAATGCAATTGAATTATTGACTGGTTTGGGTTGGTATTGAATATGCTGAACTTAATTACAATTGAGAATTGTCGAAAAAGGAGGATAGCAGCTAGCTTACCTTGAAGAAGTGTATGTAGGCTGTACAACTCAATAGTTCGTCCCCTGAGGGACTTTGCAAAGTATAGAGGTCTATTAAGCCTATTATTAGGCCTAATAATTTCTCTACACTTGACAAAGTCCCTCAGGGGACGAAATATTGAGTTGTATATATGGTCTACATACACTTCTTCAAGGTAAGCTAGCTGCTATCCTCCTTTTCTACAATTAAAAATCCTTGCCTAGATTCTTTCCTTGAAAAAAAAATATAATTAGAATTTAGTGTATTTCAGGAATAGAAACTTAAAACATATTTTACCATACTAGCTAACAAACTAGCTAAATCATGTTTTTTTCCTGTTTTCCTAAATAATGAATAAGTTATTAGTTTTTTCTTGTGTTCCAGAGTACTACAAATCAAAACTGCATTGAAAGTAAAGAGAAAACTTTAGAACTAGAAGACAGTTTGGACACCAACAAGGAAACATACTGTATAGAAGACACAATTATTGATAATCAGGTAACAACTAACAACATTACAAATTAGTTATTTAGTTTGGTCGTTGTATAGAAAAGTGGAATTGGATCAATAGAATTTTTCAAATAGCCATTTTTTTATCTCCATTTAGACAAAAATTTTGTGGTTTTGTAATCTTTTTGTGGTAAATAATAAATATATTGGATTCTGACATTCCTATGATTTTTTAGTCGACTGGAATATTGAAAACAAATTGCTTTGAGTTTATTGTATGATAAAATACTAAACAATTAATTGCCTTACATTCTTGGTTGAAATGTAACATTAATTGACCCACTATTTAAGTAGTTGAAGTGATCTATTTTATTCTGAAATTCCTTTTAAATACTATAATACCTAGCCTATTATAATTTTTTCCTTATGTTAAGTTTCATAAAATTGTTTGAAGGTAGCGACTTTACAACTGCAACTTCAACAGGAAAAATCTAGAAGTTCCGCACTTGAAAACCAAGTCCAAAAAATGCTATTAGACCTGCAGGTAAATTGTTTTTGATAACTGTCGTGTTTTGATTGCAAAATTAAACTTCATAAAATCAGTCAACAAAAGTTGCTCTTTTAATTTTGCTGTAACTTTGATGTTTTATTGGTATGTTTGTTGCTTTGGTAATTGTTAACGATAGGTACCTTAGCAGTCAGCATCGATATATTGCTGGAATCCTTTACATAATGCTCAAGTGCACTTTAATGTGAAATTAAGTGTTGCAAATGTGTTATTGTTATGGCATGTTGTAAATAATTTTATGTATTGCATATACATACTTGACTGACTGTTGATAAACTTGAAATTTTAGAAGATTCTGTTATTTTACTGCTCGTTGTAGAGCAATCCTATTGCATAATTTATATTCTGGTAAAAAAATAGATTACCGCGTAACGTAACTTAACTCTTGGAAACTATCAACAACCATCTGTATAGACATGCTGTTAGTGTTTTTGCAGGAGTTTTACAAAAACAGCTAGAAATTGAAGGATATATATATATAAACAAACCAAATGAAGATTTTTGTGTAATGAATTGAAAAATATTTATATGTTTAACCAAGAAATAGATTTAAAATATTTTTTTTTTCAAGGTTTTGCTTTTAAAAAACAAATATATATACGCATATATAAAAAAATGCATATATGTACTGAAAATTCCTATACAATATTTGTTATTTAAAATTAGTGTCATATGAAAGAAAATTTTATGTAGATCAATTTTAGCACAAGTGTTAGGCATTTATTTGAATTACATTTTTAATGACCTGAAGCAAAAATTATTAAAACATTGTACATTGGTTTTTTTGTACCTCAGTTATAACTGCATGATCCTTGACAAATAACTCAGTCAGGAATGGGTTAAACTTAATCTATTTTTCATCCAGACAATAAGATATAAATGAATTATCCTTTGGAAGACTGTCAAATCATATGTGGATAGATGGAACAATGCAAAGTTGTTAAATACATTTTTAGGGTTATCAATTATCATATTGAGTGTTTAATTTTTTGGTTAGTACAATCAATAAAGTGTTAAACATTTCTCAAACCATTATATATTGTTTATAGACTAATTCTCAGCTACATCCAAACCTATCAATCTGTGTTATCGTAATAATCAATATACTTTTCATATAGCCTATGTTACCAAAACTTCAGATATCTAAAAACTTACTCCCCACTAAGCTGCAATTTAAATGAACAATTTAAAATGATTTTATTAACATAACAAAAAACTGATTATATATCACTTTTATAATTTTATTTCTTTTACAGAAGAAGCTTGACTTAGAGGCTGAATTGGAAAATTTGAATCGAAGATTAGAAAAGGAGTTTGTTCCCAGAGTAGAACTGGAACAGTTGAGAGCGAATCAAGAAACGGCCATAGCAAGGATACGGCAACAAGCTTTGTTGGATAGTGAAACCAAACTCAACGCAAAACTTACAGAAATAAACCAAATCCTGCAACTCCAGGTATGACACAGATAAAGTTTATCGATCAATAACAATTTCTTTTGTTTTCTCTGATGAACATATTTTAAATTTGATTTGAGGATTTTGATTTGAATAAAATAGGGAAAAGAGAGTAATTAGAATCAAAATTTTTAAAACTGTTGGACGCTTGGTCGCTAGTGTCATGGACTTTGGTAAGAGAGTGTTAGGTTTCCTCCTCACCTCAGCATATCCACAAACATTTTAGCATTTTAGGGGTTTCAGATAGATTTTTCTTTAAAGCACTTGGAAAAGCACTTTCATGCCTTTTGTTTCAAATAGGCATAGGAAATCATAAGACAAAGGTTTTTATGGAATTTCCAAGATCAAACGTAAAAACTATATTCATAGGGCTCCAATGGCTCTATTTTAAAAATCTCTCCTATAAATTTGATTAGTGGGAGTTTTGACACAACTTCTAGTTTTAAAATCCAATTTTACTCTATGGTCCATATAAATTATTTCAAACATCCTGTACTTCAGAAGGATGAGAGAGAACTAAACCTAAGCTGTGTGGCTCGAGATGCTTTTAATACAAAAAAAATGTGTCCGCTTAGCGGATGTTACTTGCAAGCAGTTAAATTTCTCAGCTGTACTACGGTACGGTAATTAAACAATAGCTTGAGGATTTCACAACAAATGAATTAAATATTTAACACATTATGATGATGAAAAATATGTTTAAATGAAATGAAATAAAACTGTTATTCATCACAGACAACGTACATCATTCATCATTGTGATACGTCACCAGTAAACATGTTAGTTTTTTCCTTTTAAAACTAAATATATAATATTTCATCGTAGTTAATGATATTTAGATTTAGTTTAAATAATTGTAAACTGAAAACTCATTAATCAAACTGTAACCAGTCCAGAAATCATTGCTAAAAGAACCATTGTTCAAATGTCAGTTGCAGGAACAATCACAGAAAGAGCGCCAGCGGGAAATTGTTGAATCTCAGATGAAACAAGAGTTTGAGAATACACGGCAAAAACTGCTTTTAGAACTTAGCAAGGTTCAGGCGGCTCTCAAAGGTAATAAATTGTAAGTTAACTTACTGAAAAAGTTAAATTATTAGTGGGTGCTTCTTAGACACGCATGCACATTATTTAGTGCCTCAAAACAGCTATGCTGCACAATAAATGCTATGCTGTACCTGATGTGTGATGTATGCTAAATGCTCTTTAAATATATTATACCTTTAATAGTATACGCTTAAGTATACAATGATCAATAGGATTTCTGGAGTCTGTAATGTTTATATTTGGTGGTTGAAACTTGCAACACTCAAATAACAATATATCAGTGTTATGTTTTGTACATTTTTTAAACAAATTTTTTAACATAGGCTAAGCCAGCTGAACTATAGCTGGCAGTGTTTAGGTGAGGCTAAGTACCATTTGGGTTACCCCCACTGGGGGTGGCCCCAGTTGTAAGTAAGCTGCTTTACATGATCCATTGTTTTATAAATCCAAAGCACTTGGCTTTCCTTTTAAACATAACATGATGTTTAGCCAAGGAGTCGGAGGAGAGAGTTTTGCGGGAGCAGTGCGAAGCGATGACTAGAGAGGCTGAAAAGACGCAGGAGCTGAAACGACGTCAGCTGATTGAGAAGTCGTACAGTGTCAACCTGGCGGACCCGAGCACGACACGGGAGAAGGAGCTGACTGTGAAGCGGAGTGTGGTGCCGCCGCCCCCACCTCCTCCACCTCTCTCTCCCCCACCACTAGATCTGGCACTGCTGGACGCCAACTCACTGCGGCAGCAACTAGAGCGGAGCATCTCCAAACACCGAGGTACATTACATTACAAATTACATTACTAAGACGTGGATGCAACTGGGTGTATCAAGCAGAGTGTGAATGAAGGATGAGTAAAGAATGGAAAATATGATAGCTTTGTTACAGATTGAGATCAGCTGTTCCTTAGTCAGGACCATTTATCAAAAGCCCAATTATCAAGGACAGCTGGGTTGAGTTTCAAACTATTAAAAAGCTACTGACTGTTGTAGCCCATCTCTGGATAATCGCGTCAGTTACTTTTTCTCACACACACACACACATACACATATATATTTATATTTATACTATTTACATTGAATTTTATTTAAAAAAGTAAAATATTTTCCCAATAAAAATACATTATCAATCAAATACCAATCAACTTATTTATGGATAGATTCTTCCTGCTTCATCTTTTTGTTTTTACAGCAGTCATTGCAGACCTTAAAAAAAACATAAAACATAAAAGCTGTCATCCCCACTACAACCACTGACATTCTACTTTTGACAAATGCAAACCTTACAATGTTACTTTGTAAGAGAAGGTTGATCAAAAACAGTATAGCTAACGACATCAACACTAAATGTGTGGTTTTAGGACCATACGAAGTCTACATTTAGCTCAATGGCAATAGAAATGATATTTCTGTAAATTGTCTCTGTTTCTCATTAAATTTATTAAAAAATCTTATTGTCTAAAGATATTTTGAATTTAATATATTTGGTAACTTTTATCAAACATTAAATAAAATACTTGAGGTAACTCTAAAGTACTGCAGTCTTACATTGTGCATTGTCCCCCCTGTGAAAATCAAAGAAAAGCTACTATTTTATATTTTTGTAAGTTAAAAGCTTTAAATACTAGGATACTATTACAAAAGGTTTAATCTGTATAATTTATGACATTTTGAGTTTATTTTCACAGACATCCACACTCGTGGAGTCAACGATGACAGATCCCGCTCTCCGCCCGGCAGGTCACATCAGTAGTGAACAAGTACTCACCTAAAAAAAACTATATGATGTATTTTAATATTCTAATTTACTATACCCAGTGTCGATGATAGAATAGTATATGTCATTAGTGTATCAAGTAATAGGTGCTAACAAACAATGTAAACTATTTTTAATCAATTAGTGTACGGTGTTGTGCAATTTTTTAAACTCTCATTGCCCGATATATAAAGCTTTAAATTGTATATAGTAAGTGGTAAATTGTTCTAGTCAGTAAAGTCAGTATTATAGTAATATTTATCAATTTTAACTAGATTTCTAGTTTTAGTAAGTTTGTTATACAACTGTGTTTAGTAGCTACTAAGTTTAGGTTTAAATTAATATATATCATATCTAATAAATGTATAAATGCTAGAAGGGTGTTAAAACGGGGTGTTAAACCGCAGGATGGATGTTCGCTACCGATCGCCACATATATGCGACGCAGCGGTCATTGCCACGGGCCGAGGTATACATTTTAATATTAGACATAGACCGGGTGTCACTCGGTTAACACTAACAATACTCGCAGACCATGGGCTAGTGATGCAGCAAAGTAAAAAACAGTTCTGCCAACTATCATATGACATCACTAATCATCATATCCACAGACCAAGTGACACACATATGCGACAGACATCCCTGTAGACCACTGCAGAGAATTCATGGCCTTCAAATAGACTGTTACGAAGGTATATGCTTTTTTATAACATCGGGACACCGATGCAAATATGCGACTCAGTCTATTTTAACATGACCAGCCGCCGCATAGTAATATTGATAGTCACATGTATGCAATTTCAGTATAAACCGGTGGGCGGAATTAATAAATGGGTAGAAACCGGCTGTTACATATGCGCGTCGCTGGTCCATATGAATGAACAATTTAGTTCTATTGCGGTAGCGAACATGTTAAATTATGTCTTGGTTTTCAATACACAGGTTAGCTGTAACAGCAAATGAAAATTAATTATAACTTTGTGATTGGTTTGTATTTAAAAAATGTTAACTCCGTAATTATTTTGTAAAAAAAGCTGAAAAGATATTTGATGTAAGATTACAATTTACGTACTCACAAGGCAGTAATATTCCACATGTATAAATCCCCATTACAGTCAATAATTCTAGTCAAGAAGGATTTTAAGACTACACAAAGTTAATGCATTCCTTTGTAATACATATTCAATGTACAAATAAGTTTAAACAAATATTGCTAGTTAGTGTGATAGTTAATTTTGCGTTAATCAAAAAACATGAAATAAAATAAAGTATAGTAGGCTAATATTTATGAATACAAATCATTAAGATAAACCAACCCTGTTATCGCTATATTTAAAACTACAAAATTGTTAGTCACATTCAACAACAATTTTTAAAACCCTCAACCATTGTTTTGTTTTAAAATTTTCAAAATTTATTTTCCCATCAAAAGTTGTTTGTACATAAGATAACACACATTATTTACGATAACTTCTGAAAATAATTAGCTCACATAGTTTGTTGTTTAAGGGCTGTGAAAATTAATTCTAATGTTAGTAAACTTATATATATTTTAGCTGCCTCATTTAAATGTTTTTGGGTGTAATATAATTAATTGTGCTTGCTTAGGCCTAGAGTTTCTTTTGATGTTTTTACAATTAACTTGCAATACAAAGGTTGTCCAGAAAGTAACAGATGTTTTAACTTATTGTGAAAGTGGAAAAAGAGGACCTTCAACTTAGCAACTTAACTTCAAAGTTCTACACTCAATACACATCCAGCTGGAATATCCAGTGGAACGTATCAATTTGTCTAGTATTGGGTGTTAACAAATTGAAACTGGAGGTTAAGATTGGTTTGGGCGCTGCTTAAGATTGGTTTGGGCGCTGCTATTTAAACTCTTATGCAAGGTTGAGTGTGTTAGGTAGTGATATGATTTTGATTTCTTCAACAAAAATTCACAACCAACTGGAATTTATGGTGGGGAAAAATATGTAGGAGAATAATAGTGTTAATGCTAAGTAAAGCCATAGTAAAATGGTTCCAATTCATGGTGAAACGCTGCAAAGTTTGGGGTTTGGCGTAGTGAGCCATATCAAATAATTAATTAACTAAGTTTTTTCCTAGTTAAATGCATTCTAAGAGTTCACCTTTAAAATATTAATGATAAAACTATTTCTTCGCTTAGGTCTCTTTGTCAATTTTGTATTAAAAACGACTGTTACTTTTTGGAAGACCCTCGTAGATTTGTAAACTGGTTGTTTGAAATAGCTTTATTCTAATTTATCATAAAACTTGTATTGTATCTTATAATCAAACTAGCACAAATTTTAAGAATGATTGATAATTTGTGGAGCTGATACACAATTAATGTGAATTGTAAAATGATTTAAAGGATAGTGTTATGTTGTTTTCAAGGTCAGTTTGTGTTTTAGCTAGGATCAGTTATAGAAAACCCGATAATAAAAAAGATACATCCAGGTTGAATCTTAAAGAATGTTTTAGTTTTAATATTGATTCAGATAAACCCAAAATGATCTCCAGCTTATAATTAAAAAGAAGTTTCATTCCAACAACTTAATCCAATAGTTGATGTGTCTACATGTTCACTACACAATCACATACACATCACTGCAACCGATTGAGAACAAATTTTTTAGAAACAAATCTAATACCTCAGAGAAGTATTTTGTTCCTATTTTATCAAAATCAATTGGATTCGACCCTTGTGCACTCTTAGTTTGTATGTGAAGCTTTTGGAAAAGAAATGTTTGATGGATTAACATTAACAATTCATTTTCACAAGTTTGATGTGAGTATTTTCATGTAAAGATATAAATAAATCACAGTATAGATCAAGTAAACTATTGGGACTAATTAACAGGTATCCTGAGATAATTAACCTATAGAATTTTCAAAATCGTTCTGTACCAAAATCCATGTAAGATTTGTCCTGAACTAAAGACTTTCCCTAATGTCTATAATTTTTGTTTAGACAGGTAGTTTGACAGTGATTTGCCAATAACATGACACTAAAATTGTGAAATGAAAGTAAAATGGAACTTTAAATGTCCAATATTTAACTCTTAGAGGTACTATGACCAAATAGCGCACTATAACAGAAAAATGAATGTTTTTAAGTTTAACTTATTTGCAAAACATTGATACAAAACAGCCAGTGCCAATTCGACTGCAGCACAAAACCATAGATTTAATGAAATATTTAATTTTTTTTTACTTTGACAAGTAAGGTTTTATAAAGTGTAGTTTACATTTTAATGCATTTTTTCAGAATTTAATAGCTTTTACTTATTTTTGATAATGTTGCATTGTTGTTTTGATGTAAATAAAATTAGCATTACACCACGAATATTTACAGTGGTGTTATACAGATGCTGGTAAAATATTTTATTGTTAAGAGGAGCGTTTCATCTTGGCTTCTAAATATAGGCCTAACTGCAGATGTGTGTGTACATTTTAATTTTACCTTATATCCATACAAAGATCTTACTGAAATAACAACTTACGAATTCTAATCGTTCTCCCAAAAGACTTTCTCCTAGAGGATGTACTCGCCCAGACATAAAATATTTTATCTGGAAGTTTTATTAAGTTAACGATTCTGTGAAATTTGAGGTAATGAACTTCCATGTAAATAACATGCATACAACTAAATAGGACCATGAGTGTGATTGGCAATATACTAACAGCAACTCCTCTCCCAAGACTTTCCTTTCTTTAATTATATTTTTTTATCTCAATCACTTTTCAACTGTGATTGGTAGATAATGTAATTATTGAAGATTGAAACAGGTAATGACAAACGATCCGTTATGTAGCTTTGGTGTGAATCACTTAGTTAACGACTTTACTTTGTTTACACTTGCTGACAGATTAACCAGCCAGTGTAGATTGAGCAAAGATGAGTTGCATGGATTCAATTTGGAGTTGAGAATGGAAGATCTTTCTGTCATGTGTGTGCACGGGTTAATGTATACCTCAGATTTACAAATCTTAGATTTTTCTCTGGTGAGTAGTTAAAACAGCCATTCACCGTAGGTTCTGGTACAAATACAGATTTTCCCAGAATAGTTGATATAACGATTCTATTTGAACTGTATTCTCAGCCAAGATGTTTCGCTCCTGTCATAGACTCGTAACGTCGTATCACAGTGTGCCACTGCACTTGTATTGAATATTTCAACGTACAATAACAGCTTTGTGCTTTCACATCTGCATAGTGTTCCTGTAGAAAAGCAATTTTAGTGTTGCTGTTTGCAATGTAGAACAATATCGTATATTCATATATATTTTTAATATAATTGTGATTTAAAAACCAAATGGTAAGGTAGTGTGTTATCATAGCGTGGACGATAAATAGTTATTCTTAACATACAAACGATGTACATGTAAACATGTATTTGAATGTTATTTTTAATACTGATTAATATGGTATTTCAAATTATGGAATAAAACTTATGCGTATCAACATTAGCATATTTAATTCCATCTCCAAAAATACTAACCTATTTTTATTTTTAGAACTTTCTTTTTGTTAAATGTTATTTCTAGTAGGCCTACAGTAGAATTTGTAATACCTGAACACAAGATAACTGATACCTCTGGATATTCATCTCGTCCAATCAATAAAACTAAAACAAAAACTCTACTAATTAAAATTGTTCTATCTGCTCGCCTGCAGTCATCGTAAGCTTTGGCATGATTCACTTCCATTTCATTGTTTTTATTTTAAATATAAAATATTCAGCTTTTTTTATTTCATGATTGGCAATTGTGTATTTGCTAAATGAGTTTTTTTCTTCTCTAAAGCCGTATTTACACAAAGCCAGTTGGTGTGTAGGTTACCTGCCTTAGGTACATTAGATTAAAAGGTTACAAATAACCTGCCCCGTAACCTGCTCTACTGGCTTTGTGGAAATACTGCTTAACACATGTTTCACTCCTCTCTGAACTTTTCACCTTTGTGACCCGATCACAGCATCGTTCCACACATATCGGATATGAGTACCTAATTCATAAATAATTGTTTTTATAATTTTCGTGAATTTATGAAGACAACCTGGGCTAGCAGATACTTTTATTTATGTTGTCAATTAGGCATAAGCAACAATATCATTCCTCTTGAGGCCGACGTACCAATACTTTAAAAACAATATTTTCAGATAAATGACTAGTTTTGAGTTCTAATATCCTTATTTGTAAATGATCATAGTTTTCATGGCCAAGTTTTTATTTCCTTACAGCTTTGTCAATTCACATGTCGACAGGCCTTGGCCTTAATCTGGTATCGTTCATTCATAATGGTAGAGTCGTAAAAAGATATATTTAACTGATAGAAAAAACTGTCAACAATTCAATGGAGCCGGCACCGTGTTTACTCGGTGTATTGTTATTTCTGTTTGGAGGTGAGGTAACTTTTGTTTAATTTTTAAAATCCATGTAATTTTGTACTTAGGTTTCAAGGATTTAAATATTTTGTTACTTTTGTATCAATAGATTTTTTAGTTAAAGAGAATTTCCCCGTGAAGCTTTCCTTTTAAAATAAAGATATAAAAATTAAATTAACCATCTATGTATGTAAGAAATGTTCTATGGTTATTATATCCGAGTTTGATTCTTAATTTGTAGGATTTGGGGTAACAAGGTATACACAGCTCGTTATCGAAAAGTTTACAAAAGAGCCAGACAATTTTGAAGCTGAGTCAACGTTATGTTTTGTCTTCAGTGTAAGTTGTTAATGTTTTATTTCTTATCATATTATGTACTAATAGTTATTGCTCTACAACAATGCTAGTTTTAGAATTGTTATACTCAATAATTTCAACTAAGGAAACTAAAAATAAAATGAAGTTACCGCTATTTAAGATGTGTGACAATTCAACTAACTATTTTTTGTTTGTTTGAACATTAAAGTACCGGTACTGTAAGGCTTAGCTTACTGAACAAAAAAATCCAACATTAAGGGAACAGTCTGTCTGTCATTTGACAGGATTGATAACCTTCTCTCGACAAACTAAATTTGTTAGTCTTTGGGGATTTATAGAGGGGTAAATCAATTCCACTGTTCATAACATTGTTATTTAAAAACAAGATATCAATGACAATGATACCAGGTGTAACTGACAGACATGCTTGTCTAGTAATTAATTAGCTGATTAAGTGATTTGAGTGTGAGAGAGTTAATTTCTTGACATATCCGCAAAATATTATGGGTTTGAAATAATTTTCTGTTTATGCATTTGTAGAGCCTAGTAAAAACGTATTCCAGATGACCATGTAATGCTGGGATTAAAAACATTGCCTCATTTTCTAAATTTAAACTATCTTTAAAAAATTTCCTTTTGGAGAGGGCATTTTACTCGTTAGAAGAATATCTGGAAGATGACTATATTTGAAAGATATTACTTCTCCCATAGGTTTGTAGCTTATTATTTGCTTTATTTAATTTTTAAGCTATTTTATTATTTAAAACGTAGTATAGTATTAGACTTTGTGACAAATCACCTGTCAAGAGAATTGATGTAATTTGATGACGTTTAATCTATCTATTCTATACTATTATAAAAAAGAGGTGGTTGCTGTATGTGTGTATGTGTGTATGGGAAAAGTAAACTCGAAAAATACTCGTCGGATTGGGCTGAAATTTGGCATGATGATAGCTCACATTCCCGATTAACATATAGGCATATTCTTATTTCAAAAATCCTTTCGGGCTCCGCCCCAGTGGCTCTGGAGTTTCCCATGTTAACCTAATGAGAAATGGAATTATTGAATCTTAACAGCTGTTTCAATTAAACAAGTTGGTTCTGTTCTATGATGTTCAATAGCATTAAAGTTACAAGGATTACCAACAGGGTGCAGCACTATTATTTCTTTTACATTTATGACAACAGCTAATTTGCAACCAAAAGGTGAGTGAGCGTAGCGAACGAACTTCAACCTGGAGGCGAGTTAGCGTAGCGAACGAGCTAACCTGAAGGCAAGTGAGCGCAGCGAACGAGCTCCAACCTAAAGGTGAGTGAGCATAGCGAACGAGCTCCAACCTAAAGGTGAGTGAGCGTAGCGAACAAACTTCAACCAGGACGTGATTGAGCCATGCGAACGAGATAATCTTGAAAATTAAGAAGTTAAACGGGGCAAAGCCCGCGGGTTACAGCTAGTAAATAAATAAATAAAAAATTTAACAGCTAATAAAGTCAATAAGGAAAAAATTACCAGTTTACTTTTATTGGAAAAATCTTATGTATGCTACTATCGGTATGTCGAAGGTGAAAGTCAAATAGAGATTGGCTCTCACATTAGTTTGTTGTGTTTCTAGATCTTCAGACACGGTGTGAGATCCCCTGCCTTTCCTTCTTTTCCAACTGATCCTTACCAAAATCGAAGTGAATTCTTTCCAGATGGAGATGAAGCCCTTAGCAAGGTGAGTTTTTCCCAAATTCAATTTTATATCATCCGAAAAGTTAACTTCATATGAATATTTTTCACTGATTATAAGTTTTATCAGTTTAACTCTTAAAATAATGTTATTGATGATTATTATATATTACCGGTACCTCCATAAAAACTCTGGTAGAAAGTTTCAGTGAGTGAAATTTCATTATAAAGGTGCACAAAAGTGTTTAGTACCTCTTTGTTACTTAAGGAAACTTCTTTTTAGTGCAGTTTCGCTGATCCCAACTGATTACTGTTTATATATTGTAGAGGCACTTCTCTGTATAAAGTAATAGTTGATAGTGATTTAGTCTTAGTCTTCAAAAATAATAGACCGTTCCTTACAAAAAGCTGTTAGAAAATCGCCAACTTTATAGATACACAGTTAAATACAAATAAAAAAAAACAGTAAATGCCTGTTTTGCCAGAAACGGCTGGTGCGTCTATCGCTCAGCGATGATCGCTGCTCACTGCATTGCATTGTTTCAGGTTAGTCTATTTTGCTAGAAGCGTCTATCGCTACAGCCACCAGCATCTGTAACTGAGCCGCTAGCATCTAACGCGGACCACTGCTCCTGGAGCAGACGGAGACACAGTCGCTAGCATCTATCACAAGAAGAAACATGTGTTTTATTGTTGACTGTTCTTATTTTTTTAAGTTGTGTTTTTAACCCAGTTTGAAAGATTAGTTACATGTCATAATCAAAATGGGGATTTAATAGCAAAGAAGATGATAAATAATTGATTGAAGCCATTTCAGCACACCCTAGGAGGATTGTACACCTCGCTTTTATATAACGGAGGTAATTTTCTATTAATAATTTATAATATCCCTTTTCAGGTCTCTTTAAAAACATAGAACGTAGGCTACTTCTTTCCTGGGTTTGAAAACATGTCTAAAATAACTTCATCGTCCAATCCCTCAGCTAGAAAATACTTCTCTATTTGTGTTTCACATATCATTTTACATACAGCACTCCTTTCGCCACCAAAAAAAACCACTCACTGATTAAATAATTGCAAGAAACAGATGCTTCTGGCAAAATAGCCCCGAGCGATAAACGCTGAGCGATTATTGCTCTAGCGATCATCGCTAAGTGTTAGACGCACCAGCTGCTTCTGGCAAAACAGGCCTTAACTGTTACTGTTTTTAGAAATGTCAGCAATTGATGGTAAAATTCTATCATGTGAATCAAGTCTTGAACCTGTAAAATTTAGCAAAATCTTTGATGGTTAATAGCACCACATTGTTGCCCAGTTAATCATGTTACATACATTTCAATACTGAACAGCAACTCTACTAATCTCAAACTTGTGTGAACAAGCCGGGGAAGCAGCTGATGTACAGGGTTGGATCAATTATTCGCAAACGATACAACAGATATTTAAGACCCACTTACTCCGACGAGGTACGTTTTGTATCGACCAACATGGAGCGCACAATGATGTCAGCCATGCTCGTCTCTACTGGCATGTTTCCTCCAAAGCATTATCAGAAGTGGTCTAAAAACATCAACTGGCAGCCCATACCTGTATGGCTGGACAACAATGAGACAGACAAAACATTGGTGAGTTTTAATAAGTTTTGTAATTCTCATATAAATATAGTTCTGTGAGGTTACGGTAATGACCATGAATTTTGATTCTGCCAAAGACTTGATTGCATTTCCTAACCACAGAGCCTATAGTAAACCCTTGTTCATTCAGAGAAAAATATTCACAGATTAATTAACATGTTGAGTGAGGGCAGGTCACTGAAGACCAGCTTCGAAACTTGCGCGCATGCCAGCCTGGTCACCGGTGCTCGGCCAAGTCCCACAGAAATTAATCAATCATTGTGGCGCAGTTTGAGGAGAAGTTATTGAGTGTGCGCTACTAGCATAACCTAACCTCTATTGTGTGTGTTTCGCCCACCGTTCCGGCGGCATGGCACAGGTCACCCCTGAGCTGTTAATTCCTACTTACAAATTTAATAACTGCACATTTATTGTGGTACTCCTCTTGTGTTTTTTTTTAATTTTTATTTTTTATATGACACAAAAATATTGTTTTTTTTTTCTGTAGCACTTGTCCAGATAAACCAGGATTATGGATTATGGATGGGAGGGTGGAAGGGGCTGTAAATAATAATTATAGTGCAATTTAACATTTTTAGTGTGTTTTTAAAGTTTTACTATAGACGTCATTGCTCGGGCTGGCCCACAGATACATGGGAACAAAAGCTACAACCGAACAGCTATTTAATGTGTCATTGAGTTGATTTTAGTTTGCAGCTTTGGAGCGATTCTACATCATGTCCAATATTTGGTAGAGACTCGTCTTATCTGGAAGCTCAAAGTAAACTTCCAGATACGAACCCTGAACACAACTTTTACGAGTATATATCTCAACAGACTGGTGATTTAAGGAACTCAATTTACGACATTTTTGCTCTCTGGGATATATTTGAATGTGAGGTGAGCTGTGTTCCTAATTTTCTTTATAGTAATGATCCTATCACCTCGGTTTTTAAAAAATTGAGTATAACCATTAGACTTTTGATAGAACTAGAAATTCCATTCCCATCATAAAGTTGTCACCAGTTTTTAAATAAAAATGGACATAGTTGAAGTGAGCCACAAACAGTTACGAGTATTATGCTGATGTAAATTACTAATTTAATTTCTGTCAAATATGTTGACTTGTTAACCAACTCAAGCTGATGGAAGGACTTATTGTAAGCTATAGCATCTTTTATGTCGCGTCAACTATCTCAGCAACAAAAAAATAATGGTAGAAATTGAAACTGTAGACACGAGCTCTGAGACTGGGCTCAAAGAACTATGTTCTATATGAATTAAAAATTGGCATCAGCTGGTCCATATAGATTGGATGTTACTTTAGCACAGTATCCAAAGGTCAATGGTATGGTATGACTATTAAAACAGTACTCTAGTATAGTAACTATAAACTACCGATATATGAAAACACAGTTATAATTACAACTATATAGAATCGAGTAAAAGTCCAATCATATAATTTTCTTTATTTCAGCTTCTCAGTGGTTACAAGTTGCCTGAATGGACTAAGAAAATATACCCAGATAAAATAAGAGATATTGTAGCTGAAACTTTTAATCAAATGGTAAACGGAACGTCGTCAATGCTTAAAATCCTTTCAGGTAAGTGATTTAGTTTATACTTTATTTTACTGTAAAAATTATGTATGGAACACATAATACATGAACACATACAAAATTGTTCAAAATTCCAATTAGGAAACAACTATTAATGACCGATGATATATATGAATTTGATACCTGGCAGTACCCAGTAGTTGTGCAAAAATTAAAATTGAAGATGCATCATGTATGCATGAATTTAACGATAAGTAAGGTAGTATAACAAAACAACTAGTTTACCCAAGAATTAAACAGTGATGTGATAGTTTTATCTATGATAATATAGACTTTGAAATTTTTTTTTATCTGATAAAAATAGCCTAACTGTAGGCATACTTACTAAACGGAGAGGAATCCATGTCAGCAATCATACAAGATCCTTTTCAGAGGAATTAAACAATGGCAAAACAGGGTTTTGATATGGTTTTAAATTTGCATATAACTTAGTTATAGTATTTTTGTCTCACCAACACTCACCAACGTTTCGGCCTCGATATAGAGGGTTAATTGACTCCTTAAGACTGATTAAGCTCAGTGACTTAATTTGTTATCTGTGCGGTGTTTGTTCCCCATTGAGAATGGCACTCTATATCAAGGCCGAAACCTCGGTGAGTGTTAGTGTTTCGCCTTTTTTGACACAGTCGTCGCTAGAAGAGCACAATTGTACATTAAGTGACCATGGAAGCCTATCCAGGAAGAATAGATGACTCCTTGTAAATTTTTACAGTGCACAAATGTTTGAGTTTTGTTTGTAAGGAAATAGCACAGCGCCCAGTTCATCCACCCCCATGTACGAAGACACAGATGTTTTAGGCAGATAGTTGTAGTGTAAAGGCCAGCGCACACAGAGACAGACAGACTTACACAGACGGATAGACTAAAATTCGCTCCCCATGTTATCAAATGTGGGAACACACTAAAGAATCCGTTTGCCTGCCAGAATCTGCTTGAGTTTGGTGGACAAAAATTTTTGGAATTGCCTCTTGGGTGATTTAAAAAAATCCTCCAGCAGACTTGATCTGCTACGCATGAACGTAGAGGTGTTTTCATTTTTCCACGTAACTTTTCTGCTAGGTGCGCTGTGGTTTGAATACACCTACTTGTCTAGTCAAATTATTAAATTAAATTAAATTCTCTTTATTCTTTGTATTCAAGTAATGCAAATAAATTAACTATGAAATACACAAAAGGCTACATATAAACATAAAGGGCCTGTGCAAAGAAAAGAAAACTGTATCAACAATTATGAACAGTATCACTCACCACCAACCATTTTTAAGTTGCAACCTAAGTCTCTATAGGCTCTAGCATGGAATAGTTTACACATAACTTCAGGCTGGGCATAGAGGGTCACAGCGCAGCATAATCACTTACCTAAAATACACTGGCCATTGGCAAGATTTGAACCTGGAACCTCGAGGACCAAAGCCTTGTGCTCCACCACTAGACCAGTTTGCTCTCCAACTCATTACCTATAGACTCGTTGTAATGTTGCAGGACCATTGTATTTCCGTGTATACGATCTACTCAGATCCAAGGTGAACGGTAACCTTACTCAGGGACACAAGATGTACCTCCACGCAGGTCATGATATCTCTGTCCTATCCCTGCTACGAGGGATTGGTTACAAGCCTCTGCATATAGTGAGGCCTGGGGACTGCGTCTTCTTGGAACTCCATAACTTGTCAAACATTTACTATGTAAAGGTAAATGTCAATTTGTTTTCTATTTACTAAAATGTAATGTTTTGTTTTCTATGTTTATGGTAACATTCATAAGAAATGACTTAGCTGTGTATGTACTTCGCAACGGTGTATGGCTCAAGAATAAAAATTTTGTCTTTGGATTACCTGTAGGAAAATGGGTCCACTCACAACACCACGAATATTTAGATCAGTAACAATATGGATCATAAGCATGAAAATATTATGTCACTTCTGTCATCCGTGGACAAAACTCATTGTAGAATGGTCTCAATTTAGGTTAAATAAGTTAACGGTAATAAACAAAAATTTATGTTGTACCGTACTACTGCAAAATGGCTGTTTTTAATACATTCATTGAGGGGCTAAAGTTGTCATCTGTACCATTTGTACCAGTTGTCCTTGGTACAAAGGATTTCATCTTCTGATAATAATGAATAACATTTTGTGTGTTTATCATTATGATAACACAAACCGAAATGTAAAAGAATTCTCAAGTAATTTGAATATAACATACATGGTGTTATTAATTATTAATATTGTTATAATATTAATATTTTTACTTGGAATAAGCTTACTTGAATAAGCTAACTTTTTAAACTAATGGAAATACTTATTGTGTATCTGGATCCGGATCCGAAGATCCGAAGATCCGGATCCGAATTTTTCAAGATCTGCATCCGGATCCGGTACCGACATTTTCTTGGATCCGCCCATCACTAGTTTTTACATTGATTTCTTTTAGTCTGTTGTGTGAAAAACACTCAGATCCTCCGACATTATTGATTTATGTTGAATAAGCTAACTTTTTAAACTAATGGAAATACTTATTGTGAGCAACTGTTATGACCCATCAACTTTGTCAGTAACAAAATACAAGGTAGAAAATAGATGGATTATAGATGATTCAGTCAGTTTCATTTAGTCAGTGACAGTGATAAGACAGTGCTGGCTAGCCTTTACAGTTTTAACCTGTTTTATAACTTTTTATTACATTTTATTCATTTGATCAACATGACTAGTTTTGTGATTTTGACATTATTTTAAAGAATCTTCTGACATACCACAATGTATTAATAGATTGATGATGTGGTTGCATGCAATGACCTGACGAAGTTCTAAGGAACGAAACTAGTTGTCATACCAGAAACTGTGGTTGCATAAGGTAATCCTTTTATTTTATCAATAAAAAATATGATTTGAGACACAAGCGCACTCTGGGTCTGGCTCACACAACTATTCTTTTAATAAAAAATTGGCTACAGCTGTCCATATGAATGTGATGTCTACTTCAGTATTCAATAGGCAATGGTAATGGTAAAAGTTGTTTTGTCCGCAGATATTCTACCTGTCGCTGCTGACCACGGGTGAAGAGTTCCGAGAGTTGCATGTCCCAGGTTGCCCCCTCCCCTGCCCCCTCTCTACATTTCTGACCCTGGCTACTCCTCTGTCCCCTTCTCAGTGGGCGGCAGAGTGCAGTTCATGATTGTGTCTCAAAAAGTTTTTGAAAAATAAATACTGTTTGGATAAAAACTACTTTGAAGTTCTAACATGTATTTTATCTTGTGGTTCTTAAATAGCATTATGTCTACAACTTATCATTCATTGTAATATAGGAAAAATTTCTATCCAGAGCTTGAAAAGTTCAGCTACTGGATTTATTTTGATTTTCTAATGTTAAGAATTAAATTCTGTGTAAAAAAGGTACATAAAGGTTCCTGATGATAATAATGTGCCGCTAATGATAAAAACAATCATAATGCAAGTAGTTTTTATCTTATAACAGCAGATCTCCACTTAACGCTTAAAACCCGAATGAAAAATTTACCAAAGATAAGTGTGATATTTTTATTAAAATTAAAATTCTTTTACTATTTGTTTTATTTCAAGTTTTAGATTTGGTTCTTTTAGTACTTTAAAGAAGTCACTGCTGCATAGAAAGACTTTTTAGTACAGTTTCAACATATGGGTAACAGACATTTAGCTAGTATGTAAATTAATACATTTTTACTATAACACCTTATTTGCTATTTCATTTTCACTATAAACGTTTTACCAATTGACTAGATATTAAACTGTACATACTAAGCAATCTAAATTAAAAATGTAATCTTATTTAATCTTAGTTCCAATAAACATTGTTTTCACAAAGTAAAAAGTCGTAATTTACCACATTAATTGAAACATATTTAAATAAATAGCACATTTACTAAGCTGAGATTGCAAACTACTAGCAAAAGTGAAGAATGTGCATGTTTTGTTCCGTAAATGATAATTCACTGATTATCTTCGACTGATGTCTGTTTTAATCAGAAGTAATTTGTTGTGTTGTAATAAGTGAGAGTGATTACTTTTCTTAACAAAAATGGAGGATACATCATTCTAGGTAAGCAAGTGAACATTAAGTTATATCTACAATTAATTATGACTGATATACAATGCCATATTGTTTTTAAACGTTAGTTTTTGTATATAATGAATTGGCTGGTTCTAGTATACCAATATTAAAACATTGGTTTACAAATTTAGTGAGCTCTTTTTATTATGGCAAGTTGATGGCACTATATAAATAAACGGCATCAGCAATATCTTACACATATTTTCTTCCATTAGCTTGTTAACAACCCTTATCATGGGTAAGCAGTGGGAGTACTATGAAATTTATGGGGAAAATCATAAAGCTACAAAAACTTTTGAATTGTAATTTTTACATGGTACTTTCGTGTTAAAGGGAACATTCATTATTATCGAAGATTTTTTCGATATATCGATATTTTTGTTTTCCGATCCATTACAAATTGACAACTGATCTTTAGGCTAAAATAGACCATTATATGGATTAAGAAATGAAACTGTTCTAAGCTAACCTAACATAACCAACCAAACTTGTTGTACTATTTAAAAATTCCTTTTGATAACAGAAAAGGCAAGGTATAAACACAGAATTTTTAAATGTTACACAGCAAGTTTGGTTAGTTATGTTAGGTTATTTTTTTTAGAACAGTTTCATTTTATAATCGTTTGTTGATACTGAACAATATTTATCGTAGTTGTCAGCTGATATGTTTCAATTTGTTAATATAGATATATCGAGAAAAAATCATCGATAATAATGAATGTTCCCTTTAACAGGAAAGTACCTTTTACAGCAATAGGGATTGTACCATTTTGTTTCCAATTATAAGCTCCATAATATACTAAATTTTAATCGAAATCGGTCGAGTCCTTTTGAAAGAAAATTTTTTTTTAGGTTATTTTTGGGTTTAATAGAAAAATTACCATTATGAATCAAGATTTTAAAAAAATATTTAAACCCTGGAGATACTAGGGATTACACATCTAACCAAAATCGGATCCCAGGTGTGGTCTGTAGCTCTGTACACAGACATCACTTTAAAACCAAGTTGTTGATGGGTTCAGGGGGACCCGAAAAGGATATATCCACCCAAAACTCAAACTCAAAATTTTTACAAAACGATTTCTCCATTTACTAAGTATAGACGGAGGAAGTAAAAATAAATATCTTTTAAATTATATGTACTTAACCCTTCCAGGGCTAAATTAATGAAGGGCTGGAGCTTAATTATTGTTTGCCAAAATTCAAGAATTAAAGTGTTTACGTATTCATTTTGCTTGAAATAATTCATGGATCATAAACAGATTTTTCTTAGCGCTGAACTAATTTTTGTACAAAGCTATGAAGAAAATAAAATTTGGTTTGACGGTTATCTTAGGCCCACAAAAAACATAAGGTGGATGGATATATCCGTCTGCCGCCCTCAGTGATAATCACAACTGCCAAGATATAATCTGGGTATTCTTGTGGGGGACAGACGGATATATCCGTCAACCTTAGGCTATTCCTTCTCTTGTTTGATTTTTTATTCATAAAAATGTATCCATCATTTTGAAGTAAATCTAACCACTCAGTTCCGCTCCCATAACCTCATTCCCATTCCCCACCAAGACTTCCACTACGTAAAGACTGTTCTTCAGGTTCATCATATCCATCACATTCAATACTATTATTTTCATTGCCAAAGAAAACCCCCACAGTAATACTTTTACCAAGCATCTCAAAACATCTCCTTTACATTTCCAATAGTTTGGATTGGTCACATTAGCTAAATGACAAAAATGAAGCCCAAAACACAAATGTAAACATCACTCACTAACAACCATGTGTGAAGTGCCAGTTTCACAATATTCACAAACTCTATGGTGCAAAATAATAGCTGAAACAGCTGCAGCGATTATTTTTGCCAACCACAAAAACAAAATAACCCATTTATAATGCAGTGTAATGTTTATTCTTTGTATTATAAACAATGTATATCGATTTGTTAGCCCAGAAAAGACATTTCTTGGGACGGATATATCCGTTTTCAGCCTGAAAAGTAAATAAAGATTGACGGATATATCCGTCCATAGCCCTGGAAGGGTTAATTGTTAATATATATTTAGTGTTGCATGAACACCATAGTTAACTGAAAAAACACTTATCATATGAAATCATATGAAATTTTATCATAGGTAAACAATTAAGTTTTAATTATTTTAAGATGTCAATACAGAAAGTAAACGTTTTTTGTGATTTTACTCTCATTTGTAATGACCAATAATTGTGAATGTTTAAAGTCACTGCTCAGAATAATGGTTATAGGCAAGAAATGGGTTTGAATTTATATGAATAATCACATATTTCATAATTGATTTAGGAAAATGGGATCAATTTGGAGTAACAGTGATCCAACGATCAAGACGGAGCCTGAGAGAGACTTGTCATCCCTTCAGTATGTATACAGTGTGAGTAAACACAAATTTAATTAGGGTTTCAATTATTACGTGTAGGTACTATAAATTCTTTTGAGGTACGGTATTGGTAAACATTGCTGAAGTTAGTTGCTAATAGATGGATGTTTAGTAATTTTCTAAAAAGTAAAATCATAGATGAATAATTTTGCCTTTTAAAAGATTTTATTCAGTAAGTTTTGGGTTTTCAAAAGACATAGCCTAATGTATAGGAATATATATATTATATAATATATATTTTTTCAATACTACATTATTGGATATAATTCAGTGTGCAGTTCAGGTTAAGTGAAAGAAATTAGCCTGTTTCTTAAAAAAATCCATTTAATTTACATAAATTAGTTCTAGGTTTTAAGGCAATTTATTCTGTCAAGGCTGCAACTGTCAGATAATGACCATGCAGAAGTCTTGTATGCAGTTTTGTAGGCCTAGTGGATACAGCTTAGCCATGAACATTATAGCCAAGCAAGAGATATTTCAGATATTTGACGAGCTATTTTCATATCTCATCAAAATATATCCTCTTGAGAAAGCCTCAAGAACAATTTTACCCTTAAAATGCCATGTGGCTTTTATGTTACCCTTACCCCAACGGAAACTAACATCTTTGACTATTAATAAACATTTTGGGTTATGCTTGAAAGGAAATGTTTTGTGTTTTTGAACATACTTTTAGCTCAAAAGATATAATTAGTATATAGCTCTTACTAATTTGTACTGTTCAAGGCCTATGTGTGAAAGGTGAACCATTTTTATAATTCTGTATTCTTCAGTTTTTCAGACATGGTACCAGAGCTCCCCTGTATAAACCCTACCCCAACAACCCCTATAAGTCTATCTACCCGGAGCATTTCCCAGGACCACCAGGTGAACTAACAGATGTGAGTATAAAACCTTTAAATAATTTACTTAGGTGTCCATTGTCTAGTGAATGTTTTAGCCACAAGTCATAGGTAATTTATTTGCATAACACTTTTCGTTAATTAGCAGAGAGGGGTTCCAAGTTTATGCGTCCATCTACTACCACACTATCTGACTGGGACGGTGGCGTCGTCCAGTAATCCAGCTACTAGGAGGTCACGAATTTAAGTTATTTATAGGCATGCACTGTGGATGCGATGCTTCCTGGTGTGGATTAACGTCCGCACTAGTGAGTACTATGACTATCCGCAGTACTATACTGATTATTAGACTAATTTGTTAATTACAAGGAAAACATGTGGTTCGGATTCCACTATAAACTGTAGGTCCCTTAGCTGCCATTGACTGTATGGGCTACTAATTAACAGCTGTGCCTAAGGAACATGTCGGCCTTAGTCACTAACAAGACTACAAGATCGCACCACTCATCTTACAGTTATCCTTCGACCTTCACTCATATTTGGGTTAAAATACGCACATAGTGGCTTCCCTATCTTAAATAATTGATAATTGACCACTGACTAAAATATATCTACTTCAATAATAAGTTTTGGAACGTCTAAAATAGCTATTTAAACCCATAATTGAGTTGTCAACATTTAGGGGTAATCAGATCATATTCTTTTACAGGAAGGAAAGCGACTCATGTATAAAGTAGGACGAAGACTGAAGGCTGTCTATGGTAAATTTATTGGACCTTACTCAGCAGAGAATGTGACCATAACATCAACAGATATGAGTAGGACCATCACAAGTGCGATGGCAACTTCTGCGGGTCTCTTCCCTCCAGCTGAACCGATATTTAATAATATGATGTGGCAGCCAATCCCTGTGTGGCATAACACTTTGGATTTTGACAAAGCATATGTAAGTGTATGCAAACTGTTTTGTGTAAATTACTGAGGAAGGATTGTAGTGTTGAGTAAAGGCATGTGGGTTTGATATGTTTGTACCTAACATACATTGACCTTTCCATTTTATTTGTTAAACTGTAAGTTTACCACGTATTCCACAAATTCAGACAGCTGATAAAAAAACAAATTAAATAAACTATTTTACTCATACCTACTATGTGGTGGTAGGTTCATTTATCCTAAAACTTTGTCATAGATCATTTTTATTCTAAAACTTTAAGGGCCGAAACAAAAATTCTATAACCGTTCCGTTGCTGTATCAACCCTGGCTCTGCTTTCAATTTATAAGTTATGAAAATATATCAATTTGAACTACTTTGGTGTTTGATATAGTGCATCTTCCCGTTGGGAAGCACTAGTAATCAGCTAGTATAGTAATTTATATTTATTTGTTTAATTAATTTTTTCATTCAATTTTGAAAAAAAAGTTTGAAACCATTCTTTTTTCACAGTTTTATAGTAACTTAATTATTTTTTGTGAGTTTATTGATGTAATGGTTTGATTTTACTGACATTTTCTTGTAAGATTTCAAAAGTGTATCCTCAGAAAATTGTTCTGAAAAATAGTATTTTTTAGATTTTTAATGACCCTGACTATCCCAGCCTAGGACTAAAAGATTGTCCAAAATATGGAAAAATGATTAAAGAGGGTTACGAACTTACAAAGAACCCTGACCCAAGTGAGGCCAATAAACCAATATACGAGTTGCTTAAGAAACACACAGGCAGAACTGACATCAACTCCATTGATACACACTATGAGATATGGGACACCATTCAGTTTGAGGTAGGCACCAAGTATTTATTAAACATTTCAGTTCAATTTCATAAATTAAATAATATTGATTTCTGTATCACCTAGGATCATTCTAGAAGTAACTTTATGGAGTTCTCAGAAAATAAAACATTTCTGAATTTTGTTAGTGGAGTAGTGGATAAATAATATTATCTTATTAGAGAAAAACAATTCTGAGGACAAAATTGTGTTACTAATCAAAATTTCTAAAAGGTTTTCATAGGCAGAACAGGTCATGTTTGATTATTTTTAACCAAAGTAAGGTAAGGTTCTGAGCAATATCAACTATTTTACTGAAAATTGGAAGTTCTGCTGAGACATAATACTGTGGATTACAAATAACTATTAGGTCTGTTACTGGTTAGCTTTACCCAAAAAAACCAATTGCCAAAAATTTTTGTAAAATAACAGTTAGGACCAAGCGATTCTGACTTGTTTTACACACATTATAATATTTTACTTATCGTTTCAGAAGTAATATATTTTATTTGAGTTTTCAATCATCAAATGGATGAGATTATTTTTATATGGCATCAACACCAGGATGCGTAAAAGGCGAAGATGAGGGAAGGATGAATGTTGAATGGATAAGATTGATAAGATGACATCTTTGTTGCTGACCATGAATATCAGCCAGGTCCATTCATTAAAATCCCAATGATCAAGGACAGCTGTGTCCAGTTTCCAACCATCAAGAAGCTCCTGACTTTTCTCAGGATCGATCTGACAATCTTTTGATTGTTGAGCGAGCACTACAACCACTCTGCTACCCAGCTGTATACAATATCTCATTAACTCTAAGGACCATCACAAGTGTTTATTTATTCCAGAGCCTCAACGGTCTACAGCAGCCACAATGGGTCACACAGCCACGGCCTGAGTTCAACAACAAGCCTCTGTATCCGGATATGATGGCACCACTTTTAGTTGAGCTTTTTGAAAAGTCTATCTACCTCAACAAAAGCAAAGAAATGCTTTCTTTTTATGCAGGTATGTATATATTGGAAAGAGTTAGGGGCCTTGATATTTGAATTCCTTAACTGGTTAAAACCAAAGACAATTGAGGAAATTATCTGAATCAGAAAACTACTGTATTCTTATATGATGTAATTTTATTTAAAATTTATTGTAGTAGCCCTGGAACTGTAATAATGACTACTATTGGTTTTATATTACCTCTGTCGTAAGTTCCAAATTTTAACTTTCGTCGATGCTACATGTTTTGGCGATCTGCCATTGTCAAGCATACAGTCCAGGAAAAAATCCACTTGCACACATAAACCAACAACGAAGCTATACAAGGGGATTTTTTTAATGTATACATTCCTTGACTGTATGCTTGACAATGGCAGCTCGCCGAAACATGTAGCATCGACAAAAGTTACAATTTGGAACTGACAACAAGTATGAAATCAATATTAGTAATTTTATTTCTTTTTACGATGATTTGTTTCTAATAGTTTTTGCTCAAAAATCCGATACTTAAAAACAGATTTTGAACATATATGTTCATTGATTGCAGGACCTCTGCTTCACCACATTCATGAAAAGTTCATGAAAAAATCACAAGACAATACTTTTGCTGAAAAATTCAGATTTCATGCCACTCATGATGACACACTCTTCGCCTTGCGGTGGGGTCTTGGATTGGATAAGCCACAAATGATAGGACCAGGAGATGGATTCATATTTGAGCTTCACAAAGAGACTCTCGCAGATAAACGGTCTTGTGACACTATTAACCCTTCCCGGACGGGCGAAATCGTGACATAGGACGGGCAAAAATCATAGGAAAAAATAAAAATTAATTTTCCTTTTTTGTGTTTTATTATACGAATATACATAAAATAAACACAATGGAACACTTCATACTGTCCAAATAATTTTTTACTCGTTTTTATTTGAAAAAAAATTATGCGGATATATCCGCTCCCCGTCCGCAGATGAGTAGAAAAGCTGCGGATATATCCGCCACCCGTCTTTGAAGATATGACTATGACAACGTTAGGTAATAAATAAAGAACAATATGTTGTTGCGTTGTTTATTATATAAAACTGTTTCAAGAAAATAACACTTCAAGAAAAAGTTGAACTACAATTTCAGTTTTCAAAAAGTTACAAAATCATTTTACGGGGTTTACAAGGTGCCTGTAAATAGTCCATTCTTATAAAACAATAAAAAACAACAATAATTTCAGTTTTCAAAAGGTTACAAAATCATTTTACAGAGTTTACAAGGTGCCTGTAAATAGCCCATTCTTATAAAACAAGAAAAAATAACAATAATTTCAGTTTTCAAAAGGTTACAAAATCATTTTACAGAGTTTACAAGGTGCCTGTAAATAGCCCATTCTTATAAAACAAGAAAAAATAACAATAATTTCAGTTTTCAAAAGGTTACAAAATCATTTTACAGAGTTTACAAGGTGCCTGTAAATAGCCCATTCTTCTAAAAATAGTCTTTTTGAGTGTGGTACACCTCAAAACATGTGTCTGGATGTAAGTACGGTTTTTCGTCACATGTTTTACAAAAGTACACAGTTTCCTTACGAACTTTGTTCTTTGCACAAACATGACATCTGAAGGACCCCTTCGGTGATTTGCCCATAACATGGAGTTTTCCGTTCAGCCGTTGAATATCATTTTTCGGTCGTCCTGGTCGTCTTCTTGTAAAATTGCAGGTCTCCTGAACGTAGTCTCTTACTAAATCTTCCACAAGGCTAAGTCTAAACTGTTTGTGAGACATTGCTACTCTGTTGTTCTCTTCTTGCAAGGATTTATATAGAATATAAGAGTTTATAGTAGACACTTCAAGGAGCCAAAAGAAAAGTTTGCGATACCATTTTTTAGTACGCCTCATAAACTGATAACTAGATATCACGTGGTCAGCACGATCAACTCCACCCATGTGTTTAGTGTAATCTAAGACAACATCAGGCTTTAGTACAGGAGGTTTATTTGGCCACTTGCTGGGCTTCTCTGTCATCTCATTCCGGCTTATTTTGTGTTTGGTTGTAAGCATAGTTACCACTCTTTTGTCCTTCCAATAAATAACACCCAAGTCTTTGTTTCTTCGTGCTTCTACATCACCACAATTGAGCGGTTTGCTTAGTGTTGGCATTTCCTTTCTATTATTCATAACCGTTCCCGTAACAAACATATTTTTCTTCAGCAACTCTTTAGCCAGTTCAGGGCTATTGTAGTAACGGTCGACGTATACATGGTGACCAGATGGAGGGTCCAGGGGATCTTTTACTAAAGAATCGCAGAGTTGTAGAACAGTATTTGTTGTTTTCAAAAGCTCATCCTCGTTACCATCACTTTTACCGTAATATGGGCTGAAACTGTAAATATACCCATTCAGAGCATCAGAAAGAACAAACACTTTTAGCCCAAATTTTACAGGCTTGTCGGGGTTGTAAACTCTGAATGAAATCTTGCCCTTGAATGAAATAGTGCTCTCATCCACTGACACATACGAGCTTGGCGTATAGAATAGTTTACATTGCTCTTGAATTGTGTTCACAATATTTCTTATTTTGAGGTCACGTGCGCTTCCCTGTTCATGACTAAAGTGTAATCTCCAAAACAGCATCAAAAACCTATCTCGAGTAAAAACATCGGAAAAAAAGGGCATCTTGTTTACCCAGGACAATGAAAAGTAGTCCTTTATATCAGGCAACGGGTGAAGTCCCATATTCAGTACAACCCCGAGAAGAGCTCGGATCTCTGTGGTTGTTGTATCAGCCCAAACCTTTTGTTTCCTTTGGTTTTGAATAGGCAAACTTTGAGCATATAGGTTGGTTTCATCACAAATCAATTGTATCAGATTACTATGAAAGTAAAGTGAAAAGAAATCAATTGGTTTTGAAGTGAGATCAAATTCTGTAGGCAGATTACGACCGTAATTGCAGTTATAAATAGGAATAGTACTTACAGGTCCACTGTCACTGTCGGTCACAAAAGCATACTCCTTATCCCACTTCATACGAAGGAGTTTAGCTTTAGTTAGATTTGGTTGTTGTGCCTCTGTAGACCTCTTTTTAGATGGCTTTTTAGAGTTCTTTGCAAATGACTTTTTGGACGCCATTGTAGATTCATTGGTTGAACTATGAAGGCTTTCTTTTTCCGAGTCAATAAAACTTGAGGCATTCCCAATATCGTCCTCACTAACTTGTTCATCACTAATACTTTCCACTTGAACCACATTACATTCATCTTGAGGAACATCAGCGTCTTTGTCATTTTCGGATACAAAACCATTTACTATATCAATATCATTTCCATCGATATTTGCATTATTTACATCACAACTACGCACAGATATGTTGTCATCTTCGTCCAATTCCATCCCATCAACAGCAACATCACCCTCCGAAAAACTCTTGTTCAATAACTCAATAATATCACCAGAAAAACTAGTACTATTTACGTTATAAGCCATCGTGCATCACTATCTCATTCTGCTAGACAGACAACTGTAACGTTTGGCGCCAACACACAGACAACGTGGTTTTGAGCGCGAAACGTCGTGGGGGGTGTAGGAGAGGTGGTTGGCGTGAGGGAGAAAGGGGCGGCGCGGGAGAGAGGGGCAGCGCGGGAGAGAGGGTCAGCGCGGGAGAGAGGGGCAGCGCCTGAGAGAGGGGGAGTGCGAGAGAGAGCGCAGCCATGGATAGAGCAGGAAAGTGGCGCCTTGGTACCGCGAAACATCTGGTTACTGTTTGTAACCTTTCAAACAGACCTGCCAGTCTGTCTGAAAAGAAGGCGGATATAACCGCTTCCCGTCCGGAACATAAAAAACCATAGGCTGATATATCCGTCACCCGTCCTTAATCGCTAATGACTTATGCGGATATATCCGTCACCCGTCCGGGAAGGGTTAAGGTAAGTGGAATTATCATCCCATTAACAAAAACAGATATAAAAATACTTCACTGAATAGACATATTTAACTTTTAATTGAGTATGGACTGATATCTTGAATTTGAAGAGGGTGTGATAAAAATTATTAAGAGTTATTAAATTATCTATATCTATATATGTATATATGTATGTACCATATGGACTCCGAAACCGCTTGACAGATTGTAATGAAACTTTCAGGCATTATTCAATGGTTGTGTGAAGTTTGGTGCAGATCCGTCAAAAGGGCCCCAGAGGATTTTAAGGGGTCCAATGTCAGACTTTTGGAACTACAATGTTTTCAAATAAATATAATTTAAAAGCAGATGTTTACTCTCACCAACTGTTTTGTAGGTTTGAATCATCACAACATTATGTATTAGTCATGTTTTGAAATAGCGCCACACATTTTACTTTTGGATAAGTTCAAATATATTAAACTCCAATTGTAGCACACTTGTGCACTCAACAACGTTTAAATTCTCAACTATTAAATATGTATACATAAAAAGTAAAAACCTTTATTAAAGTATTATAACAATAAAATGGATGGAAAAAGTGTACATGTAGCTCGGAATGGAGCAATTGCAAAGTATGACAGGAGTTGCTTGAAAACGAATAATTTGAAAGTCCTGAGCTTAAAAGTCAACTCAAAGATTATGTAATTGAATGGAAATATTCACGATGTTCATAATAGTTCAATATAATCAACATTTCTTGTAAATATCTTATAGTTTTTCAAAAGCTGATCTTGTTTTTTAGTGTTTTCTAAAAACGTTTCCCACTCATAGCCGCATTAGGCTGTCCATGTTTATCTTCGTCATTGATATTGTAGCCTGCATGGTACCACCCATTGTCGCCAATACGTTTACAAATTTCAGTTATTTTTTTATGGCGATAACATTTGTTCACATTACTTAAGAACTACCTGATTTCCTGCTTAACCTGTATGTCATGATTTTTTTTTTCTTCAATTGGCATTATTTTGGTTAGTTACTGTAGTTAACGTCAATTATATTTACCAGAGAATATGCAAAGTTAAAAGGCCCGATGTTGTTCAGATGGTATTTGTATGTTTCCCTTTACTGTGAATAATAGTTGAATCCTTCCATGAAAGTTTTCAAAAGGTTTCTTGGATGTAGTCATATTCTTCGAAAATCACTTGAACTTTTATGGAAACATATACAAAAAAAAAAAAAAATATTGAAATGCTTTCTTTTTTCATACATTCCTCGACATTAAAATTTAATGTAATGAAAAATTTATAATGAAAAAAAAAAAAAAAAAAACGTTTCCCACTCATAGCCGCATTAGGCTGTCCATGTTTATCTTCGTCATTGATATTGTAGCCTGCATGGTACCACCCATGAAAGTTTTCAAAAGGTTTCTTGGATGTAGTCATATTCTTCTAAAATCACTTGAACTTTTATGGAAACATATACAAAAAAAAAAAAAAATATTGAAATGCTTTCTTTTTTCATACATTCCTCGACATTAAAATTTAATGTAATGAAAAAAAAAAAAAAAAAAAAAAATTTTTTAATTTTTTAATTTTTTTTTTTTTTTTTTTTTTTTAAAGAAAAATATCCTGTATGTAATGTCCTTGCCGAACCAGTTTTATTTAGCCTTAGAGGGTTTTCCTCTGTGATGATCACAAAGTAAAGTCCACGTTTCCTACTAAAACTGGTAGCACTTCGGCTAACATCCTCGTTCATTGTTTGTAGGAATCTTCATTATATAGGCTAATAAGGGAAGAGTAAATTCTTAAAAAAACTTCATCTCTATTTATTTTACTTGGTGGCATTCTATGACTTGTGAACTATGTTTCCATACCTTACAAATCGGTTCTATCAATGATTGCTCAAGAAATATAGTACACTATGTCAATTTATTTTTCTTATTTGGTGAAATATTTCGTTCAGGCTTTCTCATTTTTTTCCATTGTAATATGTTTTTTCCGCAAACCCAAATTCAAATAGTAAATATTTAATTTTGACCAAATCATGAAATTTGTATGCACGTGTTTCCTTGAATTGCAAAATAAATATCAACACATCAACAGCAATTAAATTATTCATCTGAATGTAAACAAATATTTTCTTCATAAGGATAACAATCATGAGAACTTCAAAAGCCACTGGGGCAGAGCCTAAGGGGCCTTTTAAAAAATATAAGGTCAGTTAGCAAATCTACGCGACACGCTCTTTTCAATGAGATGTGAATGGTCAAAATCTGTCAAGAAACGGCAGAGCAGTTCAAAGGACAAATTGTGTGTTGGCGTATTAATTATATCGATAACTCAATACAATTTCATCGTTTAAGTAAAACTCTCTATATAGTCACATAGTTTTGTCACTTAAAATATATAGGGTACTTACGTATTAAACGGAGGCCACATTTTGTCAGCGCGCTGTGGCGGTTATGTTAGGTTGGGTTATCATAATAGAAAGTATAACTCGTCTGGTATCGATTCATAACGAAGCGAGGAAAGTCCTACACACATAATATTTACGATAACCCAACCTAACATAACCGCCGCAGCGCGCTGACAAAATGTGGCCTCCGTTTAATACGTAAGTACCATATATAGCTTTCTTGAATCAATTATTAAATCACATACTATAAAGGATTTCAAGAATAAATTTTATTGTTGGCTGACCAATAACCCGTTTTATAGTCTAGAAGATTATTTTAACAATAAGATTCTTCAGTTGTAATATTTGAAATAAGTATTGTAATATGTCATTTTGTTTATTTAGCTATAAGTATTGTATGCATTAACTGACTAAGCTATAATTTCAGCTGTATCATGGACATTGTCGATAATTTGTAAAAATCCAAAAGACAATAAAGAATATTTCATTTCATTGGGAAACACAAAAAGAAATTATGTTTCCAAAAATTTCGTTACTACTGCACCACAGTCAAAATCACTAAGCACTTTCACAAGACTTGTAATGACAGTTGCCAGAAACTGCATGATATTACACATGATGTTTCCAGTATTTTGTACACAACCACATGACTGCACGGTGAATGTGGGATAGAGTATAGGAGAGGCTCTACAAGTAAAGTAATTTCATGTTTTTGTAGGTGTTCTTCTGTGACAGCCACAAGTTGGAGATAGAAGAACTCGATCTTCGTAAGTGTGAATCACCGTGTACTCTGGATTGTTTCATGGATAAATATCCTGGAGTAAGCCCTTCACAGTGGCAGGATAGCTGTGGATCACTAAAATAATAAAATAGGGTTAAAATTTCTCATTGTGTTTTATGTTTTGCTTTCAAAACCTCACTGGTCTTTTTAATGAGGTCAAACACTACTTTTTTCCTTTATAAATGCTTTGAAATGTTGAAAGTTCCCTTGACTTACAGTCAGCTCTTCAACAAGGTGGCAAAAATCTAGGGGTGAATATAGTTCAAAGTACAAACCCCAAAAAGGCATACTTGGAAAATTTAAGATCTTTCGTTTGATAGAATCTTTGACAATTAATACTGCAATTACAAACAAGTAAAAAAAAAACACACTAGTAAAAAACCAGATTTCTTAGTAAAAAAACCATTAAAAGATTTTATAAATTAGATAGATAGATTGTAAATAGTTGTAACATGCAAACAAAGTTTTAGTATGCAGTGTTTTAACTAATGCGTTGGAACTGTGAAGGAGTTCATTTTGCTTCCACAATACAAAATGGAATGTTATGAAATGTTTACAATGTATCAGGTTTAATTTTTAACCTATGGTTTCAACCTTCAAAATACGTAGATCATTAACTTATGTTTCTCATTTTTTTACTCTTACTCCTAAAATGGGTATTCTGTCCACTCTTAACAACAATAAAAACGTTAAAACATGTTTCAAAACTTCTGCCAGCAATTCTGAGAACAATGTTAAACATTTAGAAAGATGTCTTTACTGCACTTTGTTTTACATAATATTTTTCAATCTTATCTTGTGTCTAAACTTAACAAGGTTGTAGTAAAATAATAATTTATGTTTCTTTTCTTTACCTGAAACATTATAAAATAATACAGAAACAATGAACGCTTGTCAACATTTATATATTGTAGACATTGCCAACATTTCTGCCAAGACATTGTTTTTACTTCAAGTGCTTTTGCTAATCTTGTTATATGAACTGTCAAGTGTATTAATAGACTGTCTTAATAAGGTATCATTAAGTCAATGATTGATATGTCATTCAAAACTTCAAAACTGTATTAGGTATCATCAAGGTATTATGACTTTGATGCCGACTTGAATATCATACAACCAAAACTGTTCTCCTTCAATTAGGTAAGAATGAAATGTCTTCAATAATTAAGTTTTTTGCGTAAATAATGTATGTTAATAATAAGAAAAATTTAGTTTGTTGGAAAAATTTAATTTATTTTTTTAATTTATTAAATATCATCTTCAATAATTTCATCAAAACCGTCTCTATTAAATAGAGAAAAGTTGTAAATGCTGTCAGAAAAGTTTAGTAGTTACAATACTCTATATAGAATGGATTCAAACACTAGAATCCAAAGTAATTTGTTAACATAGTGTGGTGTATGCTTGGTTTCATTATTTTTTCTTTATTACCTCATCATTTAGATACAACCCTAATTCAATGAAACCACATTGTAAAACTTGAGAAATATGCTTGCAATTTTTCACCCTTATCTAAAAAAATGGTTCACCAAAGAAACTGTACATGATTAATTCTGAAGAATATTTTCAGTTACACATTAACTACTAATTTAAAACTACAACTCAAATGTTCAGTTTTCTTACGTTAACAAATATTTCACTACAAGCCAAAAATTATATAAACAATACCTAGTTTTTAAAACATAGAAAAACACATCACACTTGCCAAACAGCAAGTCATCTGCATGTTGAAATTAATTTGCCATGAACATAAATCATAATGTGTTCACGTATAATTTAATGGAGTTTGTGTTTGTTTAGTTTTGACACCAGCTACAAGTGTGGTGGTGTAAGGTACTTGCAGAGGAGAATTTGCCTAGTAAACACCGCTACCAGCCTCATGTGGGGGCCTTCTCTGATAGGTAACTATCAATATCTTTGTTTATTTATATCTGGTTAGCAAATTTTGGCTCGTACAACATATCTTGCAAAACCCAACACTTATCAAATCAAAGTTTTTTTCTTTGAAGAAATTTTAATTTTTTCTTCTAGTAGTATAGTTCAAATATTACTGAAAAATGTATGAAATAGGTAATAAAACTCAACAGAAAGTAAATAAAAGAAACGTCTCATAACACCTAAAACATATATTTACGCTTATACTACTCACAAGACAAATATGCCTATTGGGTCTGATGATGATTGGAGTGTCCAATCGAAATCGATCACCACTTACCATCTTTTTTGTATATTTACCGTCTTATGAGTAACAGTATAAGCGTAAATATATGTTTTAAGTGTTATAAGATGTTTCTTTTATTTACTTTCTGTAAATTTACTAACACGTACAATGCTGATCAAGAAGTTATTTAGTAAAACTTAGGGACCCTTTTAAATCATTCTTTTTATTCATTCAATTTTTTTTTATACTGTGATTCGCAATGAGATCTGTCAAAGTAGGATTGTTTATAATTATGTTTATGTTTTTAATTTAATGAATAATTTGTGATATTATGCGAATTTTTGATAATTTATTTTTCTCTATTGTTTAGGCGAAGTGGTAGAACATTATGGCTATGGTAGATGTGTAGATGTGTATGGTAGATGTGGTAGACTACTGTAAATTTAAAGAAGCTAATTTTATCAAACTGTGCCCTCCCCCATTCCAAACTCAAAGATTGAGTATAACTGCAATAAGCATTTTATACTTATATGCTAATCCCGTACGAAGGACGGGTACTCTGCTAGTATTAAATAAATTGAAGCTAAACCTACACCTTAAAATAATGATATACAAAAATCATACATAGGCATTGAATATTATCTGTTCATACACATGTTTTTTTAAGGATAATTATTTTTAAATATTAGACAAAAGGTAGGTTGCTCTCAAAATGGATCAAATATTGAAAAATGTTTTAATGACACATCACCCTTCATTAGGAACTCACCTTACATTTGAATTCACTCCAGCTCTAATAAATGATATTTTTTCATCAAATTTCTATTGGAAATTTAAATCTTTACTAATTACTAAGTAGCAGAAGCGTAATCATTTTTACAATGTGTATGATTATTGGATTTCATTGGATTTAACTGAGTATTTAGTTTGGCTGGATCCACTTAGCAGGCTTAGCAGTGATGATTAGTAGTAAGCTGTAAGCCTAGTATTGACATTGACAATTATTGTGGTACTTTAGTTGATAATTATATGGATCACAGGTGTGCGAGCAAGGCCAAAACTGCCTCAATACATGCTACACAACTTTCAATACATGCTTATGTCATGTAGAAGTTTTTGAGCAATATGGCGGTTTCCCCAAAATCCTAATTAATTACAATTTAAAGTTGACAAAAAGTCTATACAAAATAAAAGTGGAAACTCTTCAAGTCTTAAAATTAGAAACAGGATAATATATATTAGTAGACTTTTGCACAGCTCTATTGTCAATGTCCTGTAATGTATTTTAATAGTCTCTTTAGTTGCCACCTTTCTTTTCAAAGGTAATTTTAAAATAAAATAAATTTTAGTTTTTACGGCTTCACATTTAAAATTTTCAGGCCATGCCTATAACAACATATTATGGATAAATGGTATTAATAATCTTATATCTTACACATACTTTCTCCGATTATCTTGTCAGTAACCCTTATCCCTTGCCCAAGGATAATAATGGGAGTAACTTTTATATTTTATGTTGAAAATCACAGAGTTGCAATAACCTTGGAACCATAATTTTTTTAAGCAGTGGGGGTTTTACCATTTGGTTTGGAGTTGAAAAGACTAACATACAAAACTGTGAATCAAAATCTAGTGTTTTTTTATCTGATTTTTCCATTATTTAAAAGGTACAGCAATGGGAGTTGTACAGTTTTGTTCAGAGCTAAAAGTACTATTACATACTAAATTTTCATCAAAATTTGTTGAGTAATTTTAAATAGTATTTTTAGTTATTTATGTGTATTTGGAATAATCGCCATTAAAAATCCACAAACCCCCATTTTGTTTGTTTAATAAAATAACAAACGCCTGGAGATACCATGGATTAGTACCCACTCACCAAATTTCATCAAAATCAGATCACAGTATACATTCTGTAGCTCTGTACACATCGACACTCAAATACAGACATACACACACAATTATTTAAAGTACTTAAGATACATATTGATTGAAAAAACGTGCATCAATACATTCAATACTTAGTTATATAGATCTAACATTTTAATAACTTGTGTTCAAACAGCAATCATGTAACAAGTGGAAGAATGTAAGTTTACACAGCAGTTGATAACTATTCTTTACATTGCAAAGCAATAAAAACAAGAATAGATAGTATGTTCACAGTTGTTTTAACACACCCCATGCTACAAGTTTATAAATAAATGAGTGGTTAAAAAACAAGTGATCAAAGTCAACAAAAAATAACAAAGTAAATGCATTTAAATTGTGTAAATTTAAAGACTGTTTCTTTCTTATTTTTGCCATGGGGACAAACCAATGTTTGCTTCCAAAAGATTTTCCATAACTTTGGACACCCAAGGGGAATTTAATTGTGAGGACCTAGAGAAGTCTAAATGTTTGTCAAAGTAAATGAAATAACCCATTAATAAGGCATATATTAATTTACGAATGGCGTCAACTAGTACTTACTAATATCAGTGATTCCCACTATAGCCCATGCAAATTAGCCCAAAAAAGAGCTGTAGCTCCAAAAAATTGGTGGAAAGCTGGAAATCGTTTTAATCTGCTCTGGAGATTATAAATAATTTAAAAATGAGTTCGCGACAGATTCTGAAGTTATGGGAGGCAAAAAACTAGGCAGATTTTGCTAATTTTTTAGTTTTTCGCTTATAACTCAAAAACAGTGTATCCCACAAAAAAAGTGTTTAAATACTTTTCTAAAGAACATTAAATTATGCGTTGAATTACGTTAAAATCGTTAAAATTGGTTCAGTCATTCTGCTACAAGAGGTCAACAAAGTTCAGTAATTTAAACAATTTCCTTGCCATCCTATTCTTGATGATTACATCAGCGTGTTCCCCTAGATGGCAGTGTATGCTATAGTTTTCGGTTAAAATTACTGAACTTTGACGACCTGTTGTAGCAGAATGACTGAACCGATTTTAATGATTTTAACATCATTCGACGCAAAATTTAATGTTCTTTGGAAAAGTATGAAAACACTTTTTTGTGGGATGCACTGTTTTTGAGTTATAAGCAAAAAACTAAAAAATAAACAAAATCACTAGTTTTTTGCCTCCCATACACTTAGCTTACTTCAGAATCCGTGGCAAACTCATTTTTAGCTTGTTTAGGATCTCCAGAGCAGATTAAAACAGCTTTCCCCCAATTTTTAGGAGCTACAAGTAGGCCTATAAGTAGGCCTGGGTATTATGGTATTCATAGTCCTACCTTGGAGAAAAATTTAATCAGTTGGTGTACTACTTTTTACGTTTAACCTTAAACATATGCAAACCAAAACCACCTGTCGTTTTTACAATATAATAGATGGATAATTGTTTAAAATATAAAATTGTCCCTAATAGTCCCTAATTGTCCCTTTATTTTTTATGCTCAATTTTTATTAGAACCTGAAATATAGATCTAGCACAATTAAATATTCAGGTGTTTGGTAACTATTATGTTAGTTATATAAAAGTATTGCAAAAATTTGAGTCGGTTTATATTAGATAAGTGAGAGACTTTGTGACAAATTTTTAGAGGAGGATGGGTTTAGCAGAGATTTGTTACACAAACTTACATGCAATTGTGTCAGAATTATTCTTGTTTTTTATAGGTATAGCCCTGTTATTGACATGTGTAAACAGCATACTAACAATGGGCCTACCAACATTTTCTTCATCAAAAGATAATCAAGTAACTTCCCTGCGGTATGTCTATGCTGTAAGTAGTTTACTCTTCTGTTTCATAATACTGTTGAAGTTTTGTTTTCTCTTATAGATTTTAATACTGACTATATATGGTCATAATAATAAACTAAGCTATATTTTTTTTTAATTTGACCTTTCTGATTTGAAAAATAATTATGAAAAAGCGCTGATGGCTCAATTTAACAAAGTTTGTTTTTGCAAAAAAATTGGTTGCAATTCAACATGGGAACGGATTCTCCGATTCATAAAAGAGTAACTACAGGGTGTCCAATAAGTAAGTGACAAACTCCAGGAAACTGTGGGCGAAAATAATGAAAAATTTAAAAATGATATTTCCCCAAAAAGCTTGTTTACCAGATATCCACCATTTTTATTTTTACACAAGGATTTATATTATTGATTTTTTCAAACAATCGCCATGAAAAATGGGGCATATGTTAAAGTAGAAGGGACCTTATAGGATAATTTATTTTAAAATGGCAACCTTTAATATTAGTCAAAGCCTACTACTATATTACAGAAACTACTATAAATGAAAATTTTACTCATTTCAAGCATTGTCTCTGCTTCCTTCTAATTTGTTGGAAGTGTTTATATTAAGATTTTCATTTCCTTCATCATTCTTTAACGTGTTTTAAGAATTAAATTAAATTAAATGAAATTAAAATGAAATGAAAATCCTTCTTTATTGAGGCGAACTTAGGACCTCATGGTCCTTTCTTACAGTTAACCTCTCAAGATTGGTCAATGAACTTAGTTGTGTAGGTTTTTAAGTCCCTTAACCATAAGTTTCCCTCCCTATAATGTTTCTTCATTATAACAAATAAATAAACTACTAGCTGTATTAACACAATTTTTAATATTCTTGTAAAAATTCTATATTTCAATTTAAACCGAAATATACAATTTTTATGTTAAACAGTGTATTAATAATTTATTTATTTGTTATACTGAAAAAGCTGTTTGGTATAGTACAGTACTGTTTTTAAGTGTTGTATTCTTAATGTATTGGGTGAACTTGTCAATATATTTTATGTTTAGGTCAAATAATATTTTATTTTTTGTATTTGTTAGATTTATAAAATTTCAACAGGATAGCCAAGGCTGGTCTTGTGTTTTTATTTAGTCCTAGTAGATAAAATGTCATTCATCTTTCTTTAACACATACTTCAAAAATTAGTTTACGGCAAGACTTGAACCATTTACTTTACCATTACATGGACTACTGAGGTTTGTCTTTGGGTAGATTTGTAGTACTTACATAGTTTAACTATGAAATTAAGAGTACTTTTACGTACTGTAAGTTTTGTAAGGTGTGCTTTTAAGTTTGAAACATCTTGTGTCAGTTTTTCAGACATGGAATCAGGGCCCCTCTCTACGAGCCATATCCATCAGATGAAAACAAACAAAAATTTCACCATGTCTTTGAAAAACTTGGAATACTTACAAAGGTAACCTTCAAGCAGTAAAAAATATTCTAATAATTTTAAATATGCTATGATTTAAAATATTTGTTGTCATACTGCAGCAAAAACAGCCGTTTTAGCATTTACCGTTTATTTTAATTGCATACACATTCCAAGAAGTCCATAAAATTCGTTAAAATATTAATTCTATTATTTAAAAATGGCGGCCATTTTCCAAAATGGCGGCAAACATGAAAAGTGGAAAACTGTGTATTTTATGGTCTTAATGGAATGTGGATGCAATTTTAAGACTTGTTTGACTTATTTACTCTTCGCATTTTTGCTATAAACCTACTTTTTTGGAGCTACATGATGTAAAATGTACACTGGAAGTCATTTTTCCATAGGCTGTAACTCCTAAACGAGTGGGTTTATCGAAAAAATGTCAAGAATAAAAAAGTTTTTAAATTGCATGTTCTATCCGAAATCATGATAAAATACAGGGTAGGGTTGTTCCATAAGAAATTTCAAAGTTGGCCGCCATTTTGGAAAATGGCGGCTGAATTTTGAAAAACTAAAATCATATTTTTAACTGCCACAAAAAATAAAGGAATGTCCCCCGTTTAAAGTTTTCTCTAATTCTTACCGTTTCCGATATCCCAATGGTGGCCTCCTTGAGTTGATATATATATATTTAGGGGGCCTATATACTATATATGTGAGTGAAAATTTAAAAACGTACGTTTTCATGTCCCTGGCCTTTTACTTCGTAGATACTGGATTTGTAGTTTATTATTATGTGTTTTTATATTTTTTGGGACGGGGGCAACATGTTACACACATTTATTTAGTTTTAAATAGGTTCTAGGTATTTTTTTCGTATATTTAAAGTCTCGAAATTCACGACCATGACGTGTCCCTAGGGTACATTTTCCAACTTTCACGCTGTTTTAAGACTAATTATTCATGCCAAAATATATAAAGCCATATTTTTATGTCATCAATGGTTATTAAACTTACAAAAAAGGAGAATATTATAATTTTATTGTCATTGCAAACTGACTTCCGTGACAAAATAAGTCTGTCCCTCGATTTGGCGTCACGACCATTTGGGAAAAATTTTCAACTTTGGAGCACGACAGTGGCAAGGCTGGCGTCGATGGAGTCAGTTGGTTTTAGAGACTAGTTCGGGGTGTACATCAGGATTGTAGTGCCGGTCGTTTCGAGTTGAAAGGCGGAATTACAAGATTAATAAAGGAAAGATTGTGTTTTTTGTAATTTTGGTGTGTCCATGACCGTATGTAGTCATTCGATGAAGTAGACATGGTGTTAATTTTTGTTTATAAGATATTTCAATTGCTAGATTAACCTATAAGTCCACTTTGTATCCTCGAACATGAGGTGCAGGGCTACCACCAGAACAGAGCCAAATAATACGTAATTTCACGACCAAAGTTTCACGACCATTGCGGGTTTTTTCATGACCAATCCAGCCTTATGGATTATAGTGTGTTTGGTCGTGACAATAACTTTAATATAATTGTAAATTGAACAGTTTAGTTCAATTAAAACACCTATTTTTATTATAACCAAAACCAACAGTATAATGGAAGGATTGTTTAGAAAGATTTAGATTATTTCAGACAATTCACGACCGTACCGCTTGTCCCTGACCATCACGTTTATGATTTCTATCATAAAAATTTTGAAAATTAAAATATCGTCATATTACAATGTTTTATACACAAAGGAAGCACACCTCTATACTAACATAACGATTTTTCGGGTCTCAGGTAAGTTTTTTCGGAGTTATACAAACTTAAAAAGATTTTATTGGCTTTTTTTCAATTTTTTGAGATTTTTTATTTTTTTATAGAAAGACCAAATATAGGTACCAATAGCTCAGTGACCTTTTTATTGTATAATGGTCATAAAAGTAAATTAGTTTATAGCAAAACATAGTTATAAAAATAATATTAACTATTTTTAATATTCATTTAAACGTCCGTTATGGTCGTGACAGGATTTTGTGTTTTTCCACTAAAGATGCTCTTTAAAAAAAAAACTACCAAAGATATTGCGTTACCATGGACATTTTATGAAACTTCAAATGTTAATGAAATAAAAAAACTAATAAAAGTTTTGAAAAAAGGGGAAACAATTTTGCAAAGTGCTTTTCCTGAAAACGTACGTTTTTAAATTTAGACTCATGTGTGTGTCCGTTAGCGCGATAACTCGAGCAAAAATTATCCGATTTTAAAGAAATTTGGTACAAACGTGTAAATCTACGTTTATTTGAATGAGTTCGTAAACCAGCATAATCGGACCATGGAAACGGGGGTTTATGGGGTTTTATGGGGTAAAAATGGGGTTTTCCCATTTTTGAACCTAAAAACAAAAAATTTTGCAATTTCTTTTAAAACTATTTAGTAGAGCTTAAAAAAAAGAAATAATTTAGTATATTGAAGCGCTGTTGTATGCCTAACAGTCACGGAGAAAATTCAAAAATAGTGTAATTTAAAATTCCCATGTTATTCTTATGGAGAAAATTAAAACTGTTGTAGTTTACTTGTTTATGGATATATATTGATAAAATTTGGCAAATTTATTTATTTCATGCTATACTATTGACGCATGGTCAAAAAACACTTTTACCTTCCCCGTAGCAGCAAACCTAAGCACTCGTTAAATCTAATGTTATTTAAATTGGGAATAATTATGCCTTATTTATGGAAATATTTTAGTAAAAATGTAATCAGACAAGTTGAAATTCGCTTAGTCTGCAGGTTTGCTGTGGCGGGGGTATTTATTACATGCGTTGCGGGTCTAAAGTACTGTAGTTGTTTTACTCCAAAGGGAGCAAAAAGCCTTTTTAGTCCCTTATTTGGAGTAAAGGTCAGCTGTTGTAAACTTTGATTGTAAGCAATCGCATGTATTGAAATTATGTATTGATTGATTTAATTGGTTGTAGCTTATCTTTGCATTCTTGGCAATACTTTGACATATCACTAGTATAAGCCTACACTAACACAATCGTAATAGACTAAATTATCGAATCACTTACTAAACAGCTGTTTGCTTGCATTAGCAATATTGTAAACAAGTTGGAAGTCATTTTGAGAGATCATCTTTACATGACAAATATTTTTGTTTTCTAATTTAGTTTTTTAGATAATGTTGCAATATGACGAAAAATATAATTCATCATACGGGCAAAAAAGTGTCTTTTCAACCTTCGCTCATTTTCCGACCTCAGCTTTGCATCAGCGAAAAACTTGAGCTGGGGTCGAAAAGAGTTACTTTACGCTCTAGTGTTAATACATTGTTAACAAACTCAAATGCAATAAAACCATGTCAGTTTTATTTAATTCAATAAACTTTGCCCAATCTCAAATCAAGTATTTATCTTTAAGTCAAATCACTGACTAATAGTCAAAGTTCATATAGATAATAAGGTGATATCAATATCAAAAAAAAAAAAAAAACTTTAATTTTTATAATAGTATCCACAGAGATGTAATCACAGATGATATATTCAGTGGTACACTTAAGGGGTGTCTACCACCGGTCACTGGTGTCTAGACAAAATTGTATTCGTCATCCCCTCATGCTAATCATCCCCCTTCGCCATCATGTACTACAGCGCTCACGCTGTAGGAAGACCCTGTATGCTACAACTGCTGTACAACAATGCTAAGTAGCCATTGCCGTTGGGGCTCTTCTTGCTCTGTACAAACAAGTACATTTTCATCCCATCATGCCAGAGCTAAAGGCGCTTGGTTGCCCCATAAGCTTGTATCCTCTGTATCTTACTTCTCTGTGTAACATCTATATCTATTTAATCTTAATCTGTAAAATTTAATTTATCACGGAGATAGCTTAAAGTGAGAAGAAAAATCCACATCAGGATATAATGGTGTGTAATGAAAGTTTTGGTACAAGAAGCAAAGTATTTATGACTTAATTCTTTTCACAGGCAGGGAAAGAAGAAATGTATGAGGTAGGCAAGGAGCTATCCAAAATATACGGAAGCTTAGTTCAAGATTACTCAGAGGATAAAGTACGAGCAAGTTCGACGGAGAAAACCCGGACAATCATGTCAGCATTGAGTGTAATGGCTGGACTCTTTCCACCAAAAAAGCCTATTCTGAAAGACCTAAAATGGCAACCAATCCCCATATGGACGGATACGAGAGAGTTTGATAAAGTCTATGCAAGTAAAATACTAGTATTTCCAAACTCTTAGAATAATAAACTAGTATGTTTGGCCTTTTAAATTATAACATTATATTGTTCACGTAGTATACAAATTCCAGGTTTTAATTACATAGCCTAATGAAAAAGAATATGTGTAACTAAACAACTAACTAATGAATGGTAGTAAATAATTTTTATACTAAGAAGCTTTTTTGAATTGAATTTTTGTCTTACTCACATAGTTGCATTATATACTGAACACAGAAAACCCTCAGAAATTTGTAAAGTACAAGATTACAAGACAATCGGTTTAGTTTGGTTTTTTTATATAGTAGTTTTGTTAAAAAAAGTTGAATGTTAAAAAATACAGAAAAACTGAATTCAAATGGTAATGTTATGCCATATACCTTGCAAGATTGTTCTGCAAGATTTTAAAGTTTCAATTTAAAAATCTTTTCTCTTATATTTTGCTTAATTGCTGGGAATTCCTTTGTAGCATATTGCATACACGTGAAATCAATTTGTATTTCTGTACAAAATCTGTCTAATGGCTAAATTATTTTGATTGCAGTTTTACAATGATCCTGATTTTCCACAACTTGCTCTTAAGGAATGTCCAAGGTTTGGAAAAATGATTCAAAAGGGAGTTGATGTGATAAAGGCACAAGATAAAGATACAAGTCGTGCTCCAATTTACAAATTACTCCAACTTCATACTCAAAGACAAGATATCAACTCAATTGACACTGCTTATGAAATTTTTGATATTTTAGAGTTTGAGGTAAGTAATTTCAATCAAATAAAGGTTATATGTACTTATCTAAATAATACAGTGTGTGTAGGTACAGTAAATACCAATAAAATGATGGGTGTATGGCTGCTCTGGTTATTGAGCCTTTTTCAAATATTGAATTGTTATTTATTTTATTGTTACTATACCATTACTGGGGGAGCGAGCTGGTCTAGTAGTTGGAGCGCAGGACTCCGGTTCCTGGGGTCCCGGGTTCAAATCCCGCCAAATCACCAATGGATTTTATCTAAGTGATAATGCCGTAACCCCTAGGTCTAGCCTGAAGTAATGTGAAAAACAATTCCGGGCTCATGTCTAGTGTCCAAAGACAAAAAAAAACAAAAAAACTATACCATTATTCATTTACGTGACTAAAATAGGTAAATTTTTTTCATGAAAACTACTTTCTTGCACATATCCCATATAGTGCAGATTCCATGCAATCAAGATACTGTAAAATCTTTTTCGGACAATAAACGTATTTTGCCACACTACGCAGTAAGCAGCTGGTTTCTGTAAAGTTGTTGTTTACAGAAAGGCACCGGTAAAGTCAGCTGGAGTACAGTAAATTTACCAGTCCAACCCCCACCTCAACAATGCTACCTCCCCCCCCCCCCCCCCCGTGGAAGAGATTCGCCCACCACAGATATTTTGTCAGTTTGAATCACTCATTTTTTTTAATTTTGAAGAAAAGTTATTTATTATAGAAGGTGCATTACTATATAGATGGTATAGTGTAATTTGTTTGTAACTTAAACTCCCACTCCTTGTAGTGTAATATATTATTTTGTAATACTGCAGCCAAAAAGGGCTATTTCATATAATGTTTTATGGGGCTAAGGTAGCGATTTTTTCTCCCCACCAGACAGCTGTGCTTATGACTTTTAAAATTGCTTGCTGATTTTGCCAAAGAAAATAGTACTGATTGACAAAAATAGTATTATGTCGTTATTGAAATTTGTTTCTGTTTATCATCCCGTGATGATGTTTATTTCAATAAAATGTATACATCTAACAGCATTTCAACAAACTGATCTGTTCTCAGTAATTAATATGAATGTATTAATTGTGTTGAGGGGGTAACACCTATTGGTTATAATTACAAAACAGCTGTTAGTATAAGCAAAACAATAAGGAAACCATTTTGGGTGCTAATTTTATAAAGGTGTACAATGGACAAAATTTACGCTTTTTCAATTGATTAACTTAAAAGAATAGAATAGTGGGGTTTTACAAAAATATAATTCATTACACAGACCGTAGATGTATTTTTTACTCCCACTTTAGGTTTTGGTTTTAGTGATGAAATAATGTAACTATAATACTACCAGAAGGTTTTATTACATAAATATTAGTCCATTTAACTGTTTGTACATGCAGAATCTGAATGGTCTTCGCTTGCCTGTTTGGGCAACTAAACCTCGACGCGAGTTTGGGAAAAAACGTCTCTACCCCGACCTGATGAGGCCCATAATGGTCGATTGGTTCTACAAAACTCAATGGCTTGATAGAGACAAACTCATGCTCTTGTTTTACTCAGGTAAGCTTATCATTGTTAATAATTGTTAGAAAGGCCACCTAGATGCATAGTTTAACCTAAATTTGAATGCAAGTGTAGAATGGACTATGGTGTGAGATGATTTTTGCAGCTTTGTTACTAAGATGAACTTTCTCTTTAGTCTAGCTAAAGATGATTAAGAACAGTTTGGTCCAGTTTCAAACCATAAAAAACTACTAATTTGTTTAAATTATCCAGAAGTTTTTTGATTATGAGATGAGCATAATTACTTAGCTGTCTAGCTATTTTATGACACAAATTTAAAATTCTGAAGAAATTCAACCATACATTAGGATATATTGCTAAATAAACAATTATGAAGTTCTCGGTGCCATTTGGGATTTAAATATATTAAATACTACAATTTAAAGCTATTTTTACCACTTATTTCACCTTTGAATAAATAACTATCCTGAATAACCATTAAAAAAAATAAATACCTCGCCCTAGCAAACCTGCAGACTAAGTGTATTTCATTTGACCTATTGGATTTTTCCTAAAATATTCCCTTTAAAATGTCTTTGATTATTACTCTATTTAAATAAATTTAGATTTAAAGAGCACTTTAAACAGGATTGATGCTAAAGAGAAGGTGATAAAGTGTGTTTTGAAATTGAATGTTTATAGTACTGTATAATGTGTAATAAATTAATTTGCCTAATACAGTAAACCCTATCAACAAAAATGGTTGGGGATTGGTTGGCCCAACGACTGTCTCCCACGGTTGGCCAACGGTATGTATTGGCCAACTTGCCTACGTTGGGCCAACCCACCAATTGCCAACGAAGGCCCAACGGCTGAATACTTCGTTAGGCCAACTAACCACTAGCCAACGTTGGGCCAACTAACCACTAGCCAACGTTAGGCCAACTAACCACTAGCCAACGTTGGGCCAACTAACCACCAGCCTACGTTCGGCCAATGTACCTAGTTAACTAGGGTACTTCAGCCTGGGTACACACATGGATGGACTACAAAATTACCATTGAGCTGCAAAAGCTAATGAAAAAAATATAGTTTTTTATTTATGTATATAATATAATTGAGCTTGAGCTAATTTTGTATAATAAAGTAAATTAGAGCCACATTTGTTTCAACGATTTAATTATATAGTTTTGAGATTATATAAAATATACTTAAAAAAAACTGCTTATTTATAAAATGATTCTAATTTGAAAACTGAATGTACAAAAAGGTTATTTATATACATGTGCTAACAAAAACGTTGACTGTAATTGGAAAACCATTAAAGACTTACTAGTCCTTTGCAGACTATAAAAGCTGTATTTAACATACCAAAAAAAGATTGGGCATACTCGATGCCTAGGTTTCTATAAGGAACAAAATAACAAAACAAAAATATTTAAAAACAATATTTAATAAATATTAAACAAGTACATACTTAATTTCACTACAAAATTGTTTCTACTATTGAGATATACATGTTCATGTTGCAAAATAGTTAGTGATATGGGACGGGAATATTCCCAGTGGGAGGGAACTTATAAAATGGGAATACAGTATTTCTTTGGACCTAGGCCAGAAAGATTCTCAAATATTGGGAATTTATGAAAATTTTAAAATTTTGATTGTTTTAACATATTTTGACAGTTAAAAAAACCTTAAAACTATACACATGAGGTATTTATATAAAAGGCATTTTTTAGAACTCATGTTTAAACATCCTTTGGTCTAACATATTCATAATATTCACAACAACATAACATTCATAACACTAGAAAAAATACTAACAGTATAAGAAATGCCGGTAACTAAAAATAAATGGTAGGGAGGGTTTGAGATCCATTTCAAACTTAGGTAGGCCTATCATTCAATCTTCTTCTTTCCCGCCCTCCTTCCCTATCTTTGGTGAAGCGAGACCACTGGCTTGCTATTGAATACACTTCATCATCGGAGACTGCTTCCATTTTTTTGTTCTTCCTCACGAAACCTATAGAATAGTTTATATTAGACCTGAAGAATCAATGAGAGAATTGAAAAGCTGCATTTTGAAGAAGACTATAGCCTCGTTCACACGGGGCGAGTTTACAAGCTACACGCCAGCTTTTATACACGCAGCTAGTAAAATAAAGAATAGTTTATATTAGATCTGAAGAATCAATGAGAGAATTGAAAAGCTGCATTTTGAAGAAGACTAACACGCCGGCTTTTATACACGCAGCTAGTAAAATAAAGAATAGTTTATATTAGATCTGAAGAATCAATGAGAGAATTGAAAAGCTGCATTTTAAAGAAGACTATAGCCTCGTTCACACGGGGCGAGTTTACATGCTACACACCGGCTTTTATACACGCAGCTAGTAAAATAGCTCAGTGTGAACGACACGTACTCGCTCAAAAGCTGCTTGTAAAAAAGCTCTGGAAAAAGTTGACGCAGCCGCTACTTTACACGCCAACTCGCCAGCTTTTGAGCGAGTAAGTGTGTAAAGTAGCCCATCAGTGTGAACACAGTTGCTTGTGCTTGTTCGCATGTTATTAAAATATGTCGGAGGATTTGGTGCAAGCCAGCTACTGAGCGAGTGAAAAAGCGTCGTGTGAACGACTACAAGCGCACTCGCCGGCGTCTTTGTACACGTCGGCGAGTGGACAAGCTCAGTGTGAACAAATACAAGCGCACTCGCCAACTCGCTGGCTTCTTACACACTGGCGAGTAGCTTGTATCCTACCATAATGTAGCCTACAGCAATGGCCAAGGTCTTACCAATCATGTTACTGGAGACAAGCTAAAACCCCTTTTCTCATAAATACAGAGGCATAAATAACACCTCCGATGTTTGGTTGGGGGGGATGCCCGACTGTCACCGCTCACACAATTTTGGGGATAGATAAGGTTGTTTCAATAATCTCCGGTGACGAAGGTCATGTTAACAAGACCAAGAAGATAATTCAAGAGTTTTATGAACTTTTATTTTTGGAAAGTATTTGATACTGTTAAATAAACTGTTTAACACGTTCGCTGCGGGTGTTGTATTTATACAACGTGCCTACCGCGCGCTAGGAGCTAGCGTTGTAAAAGTTTGTCATTGTTGGTAAAATATTTTGGTGTAGGTTGGAAGTAAAATTTCCTGTAAAATCCTGTTTGGCAATGCTTTTGTCCCAGTTTCAGAGATTTTCTTTCTTCTAACCACATTACAAAGACACTGGCTAATGATCCAGTCAATGCTGCTACCCTTGGGTGTCTCGGTGAACTACGTCACGAGACCTTGCTGTCAGACCGTCACCGCCCACCACCGCGCCGGTCAGAACGCATCATACCGTGCATAGCCGAACTGTTCGTGGGAAATTGTTATCTCTATCACTGTCGTTGTCAAAACTTTTCATTTGTAGGTTAAATTTAAATAAATTTTACTGCCATAACCTAACCAAACTAACCACTGATAATGAAAATTTTGTTTGAAGGTTTAATAACAAAAATAGTTCTGTTCATAAAATAAAATTATAAATGTCTCAAAATCAATTATATAATTTTTTAATTATAAAATTAAACCATCATAACCTAACCAAACCAACCAAACTTGCTGATAATGAAAAAATCGAGTCAAAAAGTTAATTCCTCCTGTAGGTTTCGAAACCTACTACCTCTGTTTTATAAGCCCGGTGCGCTATCCACTACACCACCGAAACCTCCGGCTGTTCAATGTATCGTTGCGGTAATGGTGTTCGCTCAAGCAGTGGTGGACCAGGTGGGCGGTGGCGGTCGGTCCGCAAGGGATAATAGCTCCACACTTAAGCAGCACAATCACTGCTGTTCTTTTGTAATTCATCAGACTAAAATATTTGAAAGCCAATTGCGATCGCTGATTCGGTGGCGCGCCGGGTCTTCGTCCAGGCCTTGCCGCAATTGGCGAGCGCCTGTTTGACGTATGCCGCAGCGAACGTGTTAATGCACTGTGTATAATGGCTTTACAAAGAAACTCAATAATGTAGTTAACTCACATGTTAATAATTTCATAATGGCCAGATCATTCAATGGGAGTTTTTTGTTCTTCCCGGTCCAATTGTTTTGGGTAGCAACTTCGTTGGTGAAGAGCCTTTCAAGAATTTGTCTGGTTACGTTGGCCGGTTTCTTGCCTCCAATAAGACTGAGATGCTTTGTCTGAAAAAAAAACTCCTATGAACCTAACATACTTTAGCCATTTCACAAGTATCCACCAAATTGAGGTTAAAATTCATTCTATGTAACTATGAATTATACAAATATTATAATTAAATGGAGTTTGGAATTTGAGTTAGTTCATAAATACAGTAATATTACAGTACAGTACATATATACAGTAATATTATACAATAAAAAAATTTTGTATCTGCTGTTTTACCAACCAGACTTTCTGTTGCTAAGTTTGATAGAAGAAATGTGGCCAGTAAACTGTTATTACTGTATTAGATGAGTGGCAGTAAAAAGTTTTCTCAGATAGTTTTACCATTGGTTAGTTTGTGTAGTATGCATTTTTAATATTAATAAATCAGCTACACACCAAAGTTAGAACGTTGTCCTCATTTGCTGGCCATGTAGGCCTATCCAAAGATTCAACCTCCAGTGCAGAACCACAAGGCAGTGTTACGGTACATCAATTGGTGTCGATAAATTTGATTTTTCTGAGTTATCTGGGCTCAATCTCTCTAAAATTTCTTTCTGGATATTTTCGACGTTTCTCATACGATCATTGAGCTTGACGAGAAGCCGTGCTATTGCATCAACATTGCCACTGGAACCTAAAAACCACAAGATACATTTATTAGACCAACAAAAAATAGTTTACTTGAATAAAAAGGCAGCAGAGGAATCAATGACGAATGACGCAACAAATTATTTATATAGCATCCTACAACAATAGATAAAACATACCCCTTACGATATTACTAAATACATAATTTGCATTTTAACCCTCTATCAGTGACATCAGCGAGTTTTCCACAGGCGCAGATTTTTTTTTAATATGAGATATTGCCAGCCGGCAGCT